CACGGAATGTATTGGACATAACATATGGCAGAATATGTATATGCAATTTTGTGGCTGGACGTCCGTCCTTCCAGTTCGTCTGTCTGTCACCACGATAACTCGACAGAATAAAAAACCTACAGGGCAGACTTCATAAGTCAGAGCCCGCTTCTAAATTTTTCTCCGAATTGTCCGACATAATATTACTAACCTCCGTGTTGTGAATGGTTAAATGTTTGTATTCGGCACCAAATTTTGTAAGTATTTACAAATCTTGTCCTTAACTACCATGACCTGACCAGTGGGGTTCTTTGGCATCTTGACTTGTACTTCCAGAGCTGTATGTGCTATCCATAAGTGGTTTTTATCCCCCATATACCAAATTTCAGATAGAAATAACAACTTTCCAAAACGGTATGGGTCAGCCTCAATAGTCACTCTGCTTGCACTTTGCTCACTTTTAACTTCATATTCTTTCATGAGAAGCCATTAAGTATCACCGTGCCAGATTTCATGTTTTAAAAGCAATTTATTAAAATCGGGTCACCCTATAGGGTCCCCATGAAAGTTTTTGTCGGGTCCTTCTGGTTCCCTACCCACCCACTCATATGACACCCACCGGTCCTAAACTTTTCTGATAGAACCCATCTTCGAACTCGGTCGTTTCATTGCCCATATACATATCTCTACACGGATGACAATTACAATTGCCCTGGTTCGGGCTAAAAACGATATGGGTCACTCTGCAGGGTCATTCTGTTTGCACTTAGCTAACTTTTAATTGTAAATTCTTTAATGAGAAGCCATTAATTGTAAGTATTATCGTGCCGGATTTCATGTTTTTAAAGCAATTTCTAAAAATCGGTATGTATCACCCCATAGGGTCGCTCCAGATAAAAATTTTACCAAATGAAATTGGTAAAATATTGGCAAAAATATTTCATATTGTTCCATTAAGACCCATGTGCAACCTTTCCACCAAATTTCAGTTCGATATGACGATTTTGAAAAACCAGTATGGGTCCCATAGGGTCCCTCAAGATGAAAATTTTTCGATCCTAAATTCATTTTTTTCTGTTACAATCCATTAGCAACCTTAGTACCAAATTTCAGCTTCCTACGACAAATTTTAGAAATCCGTGGGGTCACCCTATCGGGTCTCCCAGGTTGAAAATTTCTGAAACTACACTCCAGTTTAAACGCTTTGAGGTCAGTCGCAATCTTCATACTAAAATTACTGAAAATTATTACTATATATTAGACATGCACCGAGTACTCGGCGCTGCCGAGTACTCGGCAGATTTTGGCCATGTTCTCACTACTCGGACTCGGCCGAGTATTTTTGCGTGCTCGGCCGAGTATTTTTTAAATTTTTGTATGCATCCAGTACCACTTTACACAGTACTTATACCGCGCAGTTCAAATTATTCATCGAAACTTACTTGAAAAATACACCCATGAAATTTGTTAATTCTATCCGGTAATTAACTTTAACCGAAATGTTGGAACAGGAAGCAGAATTAATAGCTTCACGTGATTCCGTCCACCAGTTTTCAAAATAAAGGTACTGATAATTACATATTAGGTAGAAAATGATTTTTTTTATGATCTTTTAGACAATTTACTCGGTGTCCGAGGCTTGCTCTGTACTCGATTGCCGAGCTTTGCTCGGTGCTCGGCAAATGAGCAGAAACGAGTACTCGGTAAAAATATAGCCGAGTACTCGGTGCTCGGCCGAGTCGACTTTTTCGGTACTCGGTGCATGTCTACTATATATATATCTCAAGTTACAAATATTTTACTTGCACTTATATAACCTGCTCTAAAGGTTTTTGGTAGTTAATTGCAACACATTTGGGTGGAGAAGACCCCCACCGGCCAACCACTTGACCGATCATGCCCATCTTCGAACTCATCCTTACTTTTTACCCGAAGATCAAGTGTACATAATTTCAAGTCGATAGAATGTGTTTCAAGAGAGTTATCGTGCGTACAGACAGACGGACGGACAGACAGACATCCTGACAAATCTATAAGGCCATCTTAAAAGGCCTAAAACTCAAAAAATTTTGTTGCAAAAGTTTAAACCCCTTCCATATTATAAATCATTTCATAACGAAAGGGCAGTGCAACATGGATTTAAGAATAATTTCCATTCATCCTGGTCCCCCTACTTGCAAAAAAAGCTGAGAACTAGGAAAGAATCTGAAGTTGACCATTGCTGTAAAAACATATTGTAAATTTCCACGAGCAAGACCTGGGTCGCTTAAAAATTAGTGCTATTACCAAATTTAACAAAAATTTGATCAAAACAATTATTGAGAAATAGAAAAATATATTATCTGTACCAAGTAATCCTAAATTGGGACAGCCAACCGTCGCATCTAAGCAGATTGACTGAAAAATTGTTTCAAATGCAATCCAAAATCGTAGGATGCCACTCAAAAATTTGACTTCCAACAACAAGGGGCATTGTGAGCATAGATCGGAGTACTCCGGGCTTGGAGTACGTACTCCGGCCTCCGGAGGCCGGAGTACGCAGCTTTTTCTGGAGGCCGGATTACGCGGAGGCCGGAGTACACGTGGCCAGCCGGAGGCCGGAGTACGCATGGCCGGCCGGAGGCCGGAGTACGCAAAATTTCCGATCGCATAGATAGGAGAATTCCGGGCTTGGAGTACGTACTCCGGCCTCCGGAGGCCGGAGTACGCGACTTTTTCTGGAGGCCGGAGTACGCGGAGGCCGGAGTACGCGTGGCCAGCCGGAGGCCGGAGTACGCGGAGGCCGGAGTACGCATGGCCGGCCGGAGGCCGGAGTACGCGGAGGCCGGAGTACGCAAAATATCCGATCTATGATTGTGAGATCTAAATTAGCCCATGAAATGTGAAGAGGAGACTTTATGAACAAAGTCTCAAGGGTTGATGCGTTCGTAAAAAAATGTGGTTGTCTATGCCAGGCCTAACCCGAAGTAGGGGGACCAGGATGAATGGAAATTATTCTTAAATCCATGTTGCACTGCCCTTTCGTTATGAAATGATTTATAATATGGAAGGGGTTTAAACTTTTGCAACAAAATTTTTTGAGTTTTTTTTCTGATATGATTATTTGCCAACCCCCATTAGATTTTTCTAAACCAAACTTCCTACGGTTGGAAAGCCAGTTAAATTCTGTACAGGACAAACCTAAATACGATGGCTGAATAAAATTTATTGAGACTCTACAGCCTTCGCGCCGCGCAGCATACGACCGGGTTTAAATTTATGCTTGGGTGCTGTACGTACTTCAAGATTATTAATATCTGAAGAGAAATTATTCCACTAAAAAGTGGTATCGCGGGGAGAAAATAATCTTTGAAAGGCTTGTCGGGTTTTGGCTACTGGTTTGGCGGGAATCACGGATGCTGCAATATCTTAAGACGTTTTTGAGTTCGGGGGTTTACAACCTGTTTGTTCGTCAGATTAGTCTGAACGAGACGATACTTCGGGAAAGAAAGGCGGCAAAATTAGGAATGAATGAGAAATTTCGAATCGGCACATTTAAAGTGGCCCGATAGAGTGGTCCAGATAGAGTGGTCCGTCAAGCGGGAGTATTCAAACTATCTTCATTCTTCTAGTTTCTTGTCTGGCGGCATATTTCTGTGGGTGGATTATCGAGTATGTGAAATACAATAGGGTCCAGATTGTGAAAAGTGGCGCAGTAATTTGGGGTTTGAGATTGCAGATCTCATCTTGAGATTGAGCAAGATTTGCTAAAAGTGTGCAAAAATGTGCCAGGCATCGTAAGAAAATAAAATGTAGAGTTAAGAAGGCACTACAGAAATTGAAGAATAGGTAATTTTGTTGGTGACAAATTGACCACATGCCAAGTTGAAGTTGGTAGTTGTGAAGGATAATCATGGAACTTCGAAGATTACTAACTTCCAACTTGGTAGATTATGTATGTAAAATTTACTCCGAGAATGGAACCTTTTATAAATTACACCGGGATTGTGTGTTGAGTTATAACAAAAAATCAAGCTTAAGATTATTTGTCGTATAACAGTTATATTTCCGTTGAATGGCCCCTGTGAGCAAAAAACATTAGCGGTTAAGGTTTAACTTCAGGATAAATTTTCGAAAGCTCAAATAATATTAATAATGTATAAGGGTGGAGGGGGTATAGAAAATTCCGACTTCTGCGTTACTCAATTTATGAACGGCCCCCTATGATCGATCATACGCATAACCTGTATTTAAGTCACATAGATGGTAAAAAAATTTTAGTAGAAGTAATTTATAATAAAAATGAAATTCGGTTCAACGTGAAAGTAAAATAATTTAGAAATTTTGGTGAGCTATCATTTTCTAACTTAACTGAATTATTTTTACTATAGTAAAAATAATTCAGTTAATAATACACCTCCAAGAAAGTTTACAAATTTACTTGCATACAAAAATATAATATGGATTTGCATACAACGAGTTGAATAAGTCTATGTAATTATTAAAACTCAATAAAATAATTTGATTAAAACTCCATTATAATGTATTTCCTGGTGTGACTTATAATGCCCCATGCTATAATTGACATTGGAAATATAGGATGCCTTGAACATTACTTATCTTTTCGAAAATGATCGATCCCATGCTTTTTGCACAATTCCTTGCATATACAAATGCACATACGTACATTTTACCCATTATTAAGTCTCATGGTCCAAGTATGTGTTGTCCGTAAGACCCGTCGGTTGTCAGATATCAGTGCGATGGGTACGGTTGACACTCTCGAGCGGTTATCACATATCAGATTGGAGACAGTTTAATACAGATAAGTCTCATTGAAACTGATCAGTTATCACCCTTTTCGGTTGTCACTATAGCGGATGACTGACTGGCAATTTTTTTCAAACTCCCTCCCCCCCCCAAAAAAACCTTCTCAAGTCAAGTCACTACAAGAGTCGTCTCATGACCACAAAAGTTTCTCAAGTCACAGAATTTTATTTTACTAATTTAATGAAATCAAAAAAACGTAAAATATGCTTAATAATAACAGAAAGAAGTTTCCGCAAAACTCAGGCGCAAAGATAAACAGTTACTGCTCCTGCAGAGAAGAAAAAATGCAAGAAGTCACGACCGTCTCACCATACGTCCGCCGGTTCCTCCTCCATATCATGAGGCGGACCTCATGTCGCGAAGTGGGGCCCCATCTCTTATCCCACTAAACCGCTACCCAAAAAATATCCAGGGCGCCTTGATCCTCACGCTTTTGGTGTCGTCTCGGATGATAAATCCCAAAGTCAGGCTCAGAACCAGAATGTCCAATAACTCAAATTTCCTTGAAAAAAATCTATGAAAACTATTATTGTCATGCAGCCACACCCACAACTAACCTGCGAGTTCCAAACCCACCCCTGCCATCCAGGAATCCCAAATGGTTTTGTACCATCTCTTGTCCAGGACACGGAACATAAAGATATTCCTCATCTAGGGAAGAACTTTCGCCTAGTCACTAATCAGTTGTCCTGAACTAATCTGGTGTGAAAAAGTTATTAAATAAATTTGAGAATTTTTTTTGAACTTTAAAATGAATTAATATTTAATGAATATTTGCTCATTTTATATTCACAAAGGACGTATGATAATTTTATTTACGTTCATTTTTTTCCATTATGTTTAGAAGACGGGGGATATGGAGAAATAGTGTGATCAAGCGAATTTGAGATGCAATGAATAATGAATCAATATTTGTATTTTTGAATGAATGAATACCGATGACGGATAGATTTTTTGTTCATATTTTAGGTTGAATTTTGAATCAAAAACTTCTTTAAACAACTTTTAACTTGGTGGATCTATTTAGCTCGATAAAATTCAAAACCGTGACAAAATTGTACCTCGATTTTCCGATGGACAACAACTTGCGACACGTAGCGTGTAATTTCCAACAATGGCGAATTACCAGGAAGCCTACTCCTCCAAAGTCAACTGGACGGACGTTTTTCCGGAAAATGTGTGCTACCAGGAAAAAAACATGTTGGATCTTAGACATGGGTGATTTATACATTCCGTATTTTTCTGCGACAAAATTACGTGTTGTAGTCGTTGTCATCGCCCAGGAACAGTGTTGAGCATACGGCAAGCAAGCGGTACACCAGGAATGAAATAGACTGCAGAAATTTTGAATTAACTTTTCTTGTAGCACTTGCGACCAACGTGCACATTTTGTGACCAGATTATTGGACGACTGCAGATAAACTTGTGATGAAAGGGGACGTTGACCGAGAACCCACTTCTTTCCACAGGTTCAAATTGTTATCGGTAAACAAGTTGACCCCATCTTTTCTGTTGTGCTTAGACACAAACAAGACGATAGATTCGAGCACACCTTTTATTTCATCCACACTAGTATACTTATAGGTGCATTTTAATAAACAGTGAACAATCGGCATAAAAGATTAAATTTGAACATGCCATTATTTATTCTACAATGAAAATTTAACGCTTTGGATCAAAGAAGGTGCACTGGTTTCTGATCGATCGACAGTGGTTAGTGCAGTTTGTAGTGTGGCCGGAAGTCAAGTGTTGAAATAATGGCAGGAGGCGATGAAGTTATGGGTGGCCAAATCGTTTTGGAGATATTTATGGATGCGCTTGGAGTGGCAGTGGAGGAGTGTGGTAGGGTCGACGTTGTACTTGTAACGCGCAAATTTGATGTAAATATTGGTGGGATCATAACATGTCGAGTCGCTGGCTGGTTTGCCTGCATGGTCAATACACACCCTGTCATTTAAAATCGTCTTGGCACAGTTTGCACGAACTGTTTAAAGTATAAACAATCTAGCTTAGTGTCTTATTCCGTTAGCCAAATGCATACTTGCACCATTTTTTCTGGAGTTTTGACTACATCCGTTTTCAGATACAATTTATGCACACGGTTATGCTCGTACGCTCTTGTCACATCAAATGTACACTTTTTGATAATAATATTTGATAATAATATCCATAACATAAAATAATCCTTGTCTCCGATGCTGTAAATCATATATCCGAGGGTCTAGTAGTAGTGTGCGGGCAAAGAAGCAAAGATTAATTTTTTTTTCTTTTTGCCTTGTTACCACTAAATAATTGTGTCAAAATTTAAACTGATAGGCTACCCATGTATTTTGTTGAATTGCATTATGTAGCTCGCCGTATCTGGATGAGTTGGTCGGTGGTGGGGTAAGTTCATCCCTTGGATGGTCAGGTCAATCACAAATTTTTATTCACAATCCAATTGCACCTCCGTGTCAGGTGTACATTTTCATTCAAAATCTGATTCCATAGATTAAAGATGAATATGACGACATGACCGCACTTGATAACAATTATAAAATATATAAAATATAAAATATATATTAATTATATTAAGTATATATATAAAATATAAAATTGTAAAAACTGGTAAAATGATAAAAAGCCGTAAAACGGTCAAAAGTGGTAAATAGTGTTAAACTCTTTACTAAATAGTTATCACTGCTAACTACGTTTCACCATTTTACCACTTTTAAATCAATTTACCACTTTTTACCACTGCGGTTGCAAAAATCAACCAAAGTGGTCACATTAAAATTTACTAATACATGTACAATTTGGAAAAGATAATCCCCTATTTGCCAAACAGTTGCAAAATTATAATTTCAAACTGCATGCAATAATAAAGATTTTATGAGTTATTTTACCAGGGTTCTCCAGATTCACCGTGCAGAACAACTTCAGGACAAATATCAGACACCAGCCGCTCCCACAATACGCCGAATTGGGGAGCAGATGGATATTCATTACCTCCACAAATTAAAACTAAATTAGTAAAAATGTGATAGTGATAAGTGTAATACAGAGATTGTGTTTAAATTTGGAACCATGAGTTCAAGTCAATACAATCAATGTTCCCTGGCGCCATTTGTGCAATGGTTGGAATTTTTCAAAATATTTTAGGTCAAAGTTGAAAATTTGTCACTTTTAACCTCGAATATTTCGAAAAATTTTGAAAAATTTTTTGTATTGACTTAAATAGAACTATGAATTCCAAAAATTTCAACAAAGTGTTGAAAAATTTTGGTGCTACATGCATGATGTTCACATTACTACAGACAGAAATTAATATCAAATATAGTATGTATATGTATGTATGTATAACATGCATACATTCATAGGTATACGTACTACGTATATACATATGTACATATCTATATATTAAAAACATATTTTTACTTTCCTTCATTATTTATACTTTGATAAATTTTAAGATTTTTAAAAGTATCAGATAGGGACAATTTTGTACAGCGCTGGTCGTCTATCTTTTTAAAAGATTTGTTTATACAAATGATATGTAATATGCACTATTTACTCTGCGAATACAATTTTTACTCTAATTAATAAAATTGAAAGAAATCCACATGGAACTTTTGTGAGGGATATTTTAAATTCACTCCAGCATTTTATCCTGCAAAATAAATACTATATTTCTCGAAACCTCGTCTCATTCATGAAATGAAAACGAGAGGAAATTTCTATTTCACTCGGAGTGTGCATGCCAACAGCGAATACGATTCAACCTAATTTTCATATGACATCCGTTAAGGGAATCCATGTATAATTATGAGCACAACCTCACGTAAACCCATATTAAGCATCGTTACACCCCCCGGCCATTGTGGGACATATCCCCACACACCATTTGTGAACATAGATAAAGAATCAGTGTATCTTCTCCCCTTGCGCACCAAACCATCAACGCCACCTCTCCTTCGGCATCTCAACCTTTGTCACACCCACGGGGGACCAGACGCCCACCTTTATACCCGTCTCTTAGCAACGCCGAAACTCGCACCCCACTTGTATTTCCGGTACTATCTCGCCCATCATCTACCCCGTTACAACAACAAATCACTTTCAGTTCAGCCTCTTCCGCCCGTACGACAACCTCAAGCTCTTCTTCGGGAGATCGCAATCAGCCCACACTATCTCCACATCGACTCTTCCCCGCACACCACTTACTAGCCACAACTACTCAAGCGTACATACACATGCAATTCTTCAGCCCCATCTCGACTATCGCACGTTTCCCCACGTGCACCAGTACCGCAGCTTCCACTTTCTCCACGAGTACGATACCTGTCATCATAACAACCACTACTTTCCCCTCGGGTACGAAACCTGTTACCACGGCAACCACCACTTTCTCCTCTACTGCCGTGTTCACACATATTCCCATTGCCATGGCGAGTAATCCAACCATTCACAAATTTATATCCGTCTACATGCCACAGGCCGAATCAAGCAAGTGGGATGGAACCTCTTTTAGTTGGTGTGACTTTCTGGACGTCTATCAATTAGACGCCACAACTCACCGCTGGACGGGGGGGGGCAATGTATTGCCAACCTTGTTCGTCACCTACGAGGAACAGCTTTAGATTTTTAGAAAACCTGCCGTGCACTAGAACAGGGCGTCCCAATTGAACAAGTCCGGCTCACCCGGGCCTAGGTGGAGACGGCCTTCAAACAAGTCTTTACCACTAATAGAGCTTAATGAAACCCAAAACATGAGTCTCAATTTCCCTATCATGCTATACTTTCTTCCTCCTCACTTCACCGAGCAATGAAATGAATCGACACCAACCACCCAATTTGCACAGATCTAATGACCCACTTTCAAGGCGCCCTTATCTCACATTTATCATCACTCTCCATATCTTTCACGCTGATAAGCACCTCATGGTCTCGTTTCAGATTGAGGCCGAAAGCCTTTCAACGGCGAGGTAACGTAGCACACTCAAAGCTCCTACTTGTAACCTAACCATATCGTCATAGGGCGGGTATGTTTGTACTTAAATTCCTCAAAATATGTATGTAATATGTACTTAAAAAACTCGAAATTATACACGTAAAACATATTTTCCAACTGAAATTTAGTACTATATTTGCATTTAATTTTCGAAAAGTTTTAAATTTTTAACACTCTTATTAATGAATTATTAAGTAATGTATTTTAATATTCATTTAACCGACCCATGAAGCGACATTAGTCATATTTAGAGATTTTCAGAGGTACTTTATGGCTTGAAAAATGGGACAAATTGGATTTGCTAGTCGTTCACACGAATTGAACTCTGTTATAATGAAAATATAATTTTGGTCAAACTTTGGTTTAACAAAATATTTTTCATCAAAAAACCTTGAAATATGCATTAAAATATTTATCGTTGGAAAAGGGCTCGAAATATGTATGAAAATATGTATATGTATGAAAACCCTAAAATATGGGAAATATGGAAAACTATGTTTGAATTTTTGAAATCATGCTTCGTTGGGATGTCACAAGAGTCTGGATCTGACTTAATCCCATTTTAATCCCATCATTAAAATTAATCAATGGCTTCCGGGATTAGCATTGAGGATTAATTATTTTTTCCAAACTACTTGGGATTGAGGATTAGGGATTAAAAGTCAAAAATTACGGATTGAGGTTTGGGATTAAGGATTAATTAACCCTTCTAATCCTTGTAATTAATTAATCCTTGGATTAAGGATTAATTAATCCCCCAACCCAATCTCAATCCGTAATCCCGGATTAACCAGACTCTGGATGTCACTATACGAAGTTTTAGTAAGATCTGACTGGGTATGAAAAAGTTAGAAATACATATCCGCCCTCTGCTCACTGGCGGAACTAGGGGTACGCAGGGTACGTCCCATGTATCGGCCCCCGCTTAGTAACGGCCCCCGCGGGGGCCGTTACGTCGAGGGGCCGGCACCCCGGCCCCTCGACTTCGTTATATTATTCGAACTTATTCAATAATAAATTTTTAAAAAACTAAAAAATAATGTCATCGCCAGCTTAATAATTTTAACTAACTGTATTTAACTGGTAAACCTGTTAAACTTTGGGCCCTTAAGTTTTAATAAACCGTAGTAACGTTAGAAGTAGCTCACCCTGTCATATTGACTTGGTTATAACTTACGCACCAAAGGTGCGGAGTAACCCGACAAGCCATACTTACAATACAATTAGCGAGTAAGATACGCATATATAATGATTTGCTATAACTTTACCAAAGGTGCCGAATAATCGCGTAAAATATACAAGTATAAAAGTTATACAATTTTGCACCATTGATGCAGGATAATCGAACAAATAGATATAGTATTGTCATATAATTTTGCAGCAATGGTACAGGATAACCAGAAAGAGCAGGCATATAAAAATGATATAATTTTTTTTCACCAAGGGTGCAGAATAAGGAGCCAAATTAAATATCTAATTTTGAAATAATTTTGGTTTTTCCCCCGGGGCCTTGAACTCGTGGTGTTAAATTTTTGACACCACCTTTCATCCAGTTATTCTAAACTTTTGGTGCATGTTGCATCGATTCTCCCAATTATTTAGCATCATTTTTGATAACCGTTTGTTTGATACTAACGGTGCAACTTATTCCAATGTTGGAGTACTTTCTCGATCAACTTTCCCAATTGATTCGCACCATTTCCGTTCGGATTGTTCGATGCTAATGGTGCGATTAAGATGCTCAATAATGGACAAGGGGATTTATAATTAGCATCAATTGATGCAAAAAACTCGTGAACACACGGACGGACGGACAGACGGACAAGAGGAATTCAATAGCTCTCATGCTACGCAGGGTAAGCTAATAAACCGTTGTAACGTTAGAAATAGCTCGCCCTGAAACATAATTTGAGCATAACTTCGCACCGAAGGTGCCAAATAATCGGTCAATCTAGATACAGAATTTTGACACAATTTTGCATCAATGCTACACAACAATCCCCGCAAATAGATGCAACATTTTTATGTATATAATTTGGCACCAATGATGGGAAATAGGCGGACAAAACAGACCAATAAATTTGACATAATTTCGACTTTTTCGACCCCTGTAGTAGGGCCTATTACTACCGGTTATTCTGCACTTTTGGTGCGTGTGGCATCAATTCCCCCAATTTCTTGGCACCATTTTGTGTCATCGCTTGTTCGGTACGAATGGGGCCATTAATATCCTAAAAATTGGACATGGGCCTATTTAATTAGCATCAATTGATTCAAAAAACTCATTAACAGACAGACGGACAGACAGAAAGACGGAGAGGAGGAATTCAATAGCTCTTATGCTACGCAGGACGAGCTAATAATTCTTATAAATGAGAAATAGTAGTTCTGAAATAGATACCTTATTATCACGTTTACATTGAATTTTAATTTGTTTTAAAATTTAGCTGTCTATATTTATTTATAAGTCTCACTAAAACACACAGATTTAAAATTAAAAACCGGTTTACAGCCGGTTTTGTGGAGTATGAAACCCGCTTATTGCACTTTTCCAAAAATCTGATTGATCAAAAATTGGTCTTACCAGAATTTTGAAAACAATTTAAAGCCGGATTGTCGAGAAATTGCTAAAATCGGGAAACCCCAAAACTATATAGTACATACATAAATACATAATTTGTTATTTGAAACAAGTCATTTCTTATTTTCATTCATATTTTGCTAACTAAAACCAAATAACGCAACGTATTTATGTCAAATAAAATGATGTGAATGCCTTTTAACAGCAAATGCTAAAATTCATAAAAAATTACAGGCACATATCCATTGGCAAAAGTAAATTTAGATAGGCCCCCAAATCTTGGTCACGTACCGGCCCCCAATCTATAGTTCCGCCACTGCCTCTGCTGATCGTGTGTGCTCGAGGGTTACAATTGAACACAGATATCTGACAATCGACAGACTTGAGACAACCCATGCTCCAAGTTGCTCTGTACCGCGAAGCAGCTGGACTATTTATTTCGCAAAATTCTGCACACTTTTCCGAAAACACATTTTCATAAGATTCCAAACTACTTGCAATTTTACAATACTTATAAACCTTTACCCTGTTGGTCGTTATTGTCTGTATTTCATCATTTCGAGTTCTTATAAACAAAGGAGGTACTACTAATATTTCATGAAAAGTGAAAGGTTGATGGTATGAAATTAATTTCAATCATTTTGTGACATTTAATTAACAGATTTTATTATTAGATCAATTTCCTAGGGATGATTTAGTCTAAATAGTTTATAAATCTCGCAATTTGTCCACACTTCTGGTAAACATGTTTACACATTTTTAAAACTTTCAAATCTACACTTGTTCATAATTTAATTTGGATTTTGGCAAAACTTATTAAAATTATATATTTTTCGACACAATTTAGTTTCCTCCAGGCCACATTCCCGCCCCTCTGACGACACGATGTCGTCGTCGCCATGCTGCAAAGTGTGTCGCAATGCAATCTCGTTAAAGTCGCGGTCGTCGTCGTCAAGTTCGCCGTTTAAACGAACATCTGCGGATTGGAATCAACTTTCTTTCTTGATCGGGACACGGCTCCTGGCCCCATTTTGTGCGACCTGTACCGGCCAACTGTCCCACCTCCTCGGCCTTATCAAAAAGTATAACATAATCGAGAACGAGTTGAAAAGAGGGATCGTCAAGTTTAAGAAAAAGCCGGGTCAGTTTTTCAAAAAATTTGTATTTGTCAGCAGAAAATCGTTTAGTTTTCATCATTTTTAAATTTAAACGTCAAACCCAGTTTATACATTTTCTCTGGAAATTTGCACATTTTTGAGGGATTGAAAATTTCTGATTATGGGCAGTATATACATAATCTAATCACGTCACTCGCTTCATAACTTTGCCGTGTTTACGAAATCGTGAAGGATTTATTTTAAATGAAAATGCATAAATTGAAAATGTGACGAGAAATTAAAATTCGCAAATCTCTTACCAAATTGTCGCAACTCTTCGGAAACATAGCAAAGTTTTTAACCGAGGTTTACGAAATTTACGGCGTGAATATATGTATGTACACCTCTAATAGATAACAACCCATTTTCACTGTTTTCAGGTCTCGCCGCTAAGCTCGAGTCAAATCAGGCACCCAAAAAACCTAAAATTATACCAAAACGACCTCGCGTCCGTAAAACGATTGCCGCATTAAAACCCGAGCCACCCACAAGCATGGAGACCGAGATGGAACAAATTGATAAGGACGACGACCAAGATAACACCAATATTCCCAAAAAACCTTCACAAAGTGTCGCGAAACTGCCCCCACTTATCCTCGACCGCAGGTTCTACATGGACACTGAATACGCCCCGATCAACAACACCTTGACCTGCTTAAGGTGCGGGTGGTGCACGAATTCAGTGGCGGAGGCGACGAAGGCCTTCGATATCTGCACCCACATCAAGACTGAGCACAAACGTAAATATGCTAATGACATATATAAATTTCAGGGATGGTCAAAATACGTTGAATTGAAAATACAAAATACGTATTTGGAATTTTCAAAATATGCGACACAATGCTCGAAAGTATTTTGAATTACAGTTGCATTTTGAGAAATTATAGGAAATTCAGTTTTGTATTTTACACGTGCTCTATTTGTGACGCTTGTTTGTGACGATTTTTTAATCTAATTTCGTTCGTTCGACAATTTTAAATTATAAATTTACAGTCTATAAAACCTACAAAGTAATTTGTATTTTCAAATTTTGAATTGAAAATGAGAGTAGAAATATTTCGCATTTTGTAAAAGCAAAAATCTCAGTATTTTGGAAATACCAATCTAGACGGACTCTCACTAAAGGTATACATTGCCTGTACGACTATTTTTTGATTTAAAATTAAGTACCCGAAATGGGTTCACGTTGCGCCAAAAAAATCGGAAAAATATTTTTTTGTCAAATTGCCCCACCCACTCTCCCCCAGAGGTAATTTTGCTTGGTTCAACTTTTTCTCGGCCCCCAAGGCCGATAAATTCGCCAAACTTGGCATAGACCTCTCATTTGGGGTCGTCCTCGGTGACGCTAAGTATGAATCCCCTAGGTCAAAATTTATAATGCCCTTGACCTGAAAATTTCGACCTTTTTTTCGTTTTTTCGAAATATTTTCCATGTTTATGAAATCTTAACTATCCCACTTCAAAACCGTACAGAAACAATATATTCCGCGTCTATTGCCGGTAGTTTCGACCTCCTAGCTCAAAAACTAAGGGTACTTTGTAGGACGACTCACCCCAGAAAATCGACGATGTCGAACGCGACGGGGAGGGTACTTTAGCGGCCCTTATTTCCGAGCCTGACCTTTCCTTCGGTCAAATTGAGTGTCAGGTCGATACTACTATCTATTGTGAACAAAATAAGCATAACCACACCCACAGGCATTGGGGGTGTGGCTCACAAAAATTCGTCGAAGTTTTGAAAAACGTCGAAAATTTCTCAAAAAAAATTCCGAAAATCAATTTTTTTGATGTATTATGCTGTTTAGAACACGTTTCGACCAAATTCTAGTTGTTTGGGAAATTTTTGTTTGAGAGTGAACGTGAGAGTCAACGTTTCGGGTACTTATTTTTAAATCAAAAAATAGTCGTACAGGCAATGTATACCTTTAGTGAGAGTCCGTCTCTATTTGGACACACGAAATCAGTATTTTGACCATCCTTGATCACTTAACCAAAATTTTCATCCAAACTCTCCGTATTTTAATCTAACCGTTTCCCCACATTTTTTCAGACAATTATCGCTGTCCCCACTGTGACAGGAAATTCGCAAGCTTCCAGCTACGAAAAAAGCATCTCGAAAACATCTGCTTATCTGTCGTCCCATGCGAAATCTGTGAAAAACCCGTCCCCCCGCAGAAACTTCGGGAGCACACGTGGTCTCACAAATCCTGCGAGGAAATGGACGCTGCTCTCAATGCAAACTGTGAAACGGCCTTTATCACATGTTTAAAATGCGGAAAACTTTACGACGGCGTGACCAAATTGATGCAACATCAGCGCGCCTGCAACGTCAACTGGCACGACGAGCTGGACATTATTCCCGCGGCCGCGACTTCAGCGGTGACGTGTGCCATGTGCGGTCGTCCTTTGATCAGCGAAGCATTACTTCCCCGGCACGAGTGGTCACATTTGAACAGTCTGGAAAAACGCGTCGCAATTCGAGGGGGACAAATGCCGAAATTTCGACCGTGTAAGATCCTTCTGGAAAATGGGGAAGTTAGTGAGATGCAAATTAGAAAGTGGATGGCGGAACAGGAATTTCGAATTAGTTAAGGTTCAAATTTAGTGTGAAAAAATGCATGATGCATAAATTCCAATTCTTAAAAATAATGTTACTCTTGTGAACGCAGCATAAATTTTGTGTCGGTAAACTGTACTTTATTTTTATAGAATTAAATATGAATGAAATTACTCGACAAAAATACCCTTAAAATTTATTTCCTGTTTCGAGAGGGCGACAGAGATGACATAAAAATATCGAAATTCGAGCAAAATTCAAGTCTTTCATGCAAAAAGGTCAGTTTCATGTGTTTGAGATTGTCATATGCTCAAGTTTTTGGGACTGTGCAAAAAGTATGTTCTTGATTTCAGAATGGTAGGGTCAAGGCATCCTATCCTTCCATCCATGTTAATTTTAACATGAGAAGACATATAGGGGGTAGGGTCTAAATTCCTGCTTAAATCGATAGCATGCTTTATGCACGGCCCCATTCTTTGTACCGGGAACCAGCTGGGTTGTTTATGTATTCAATTCGCGCACATTTTTCAGAGAAAAACAATATTTGCACAAAATTTCAGATTTCAAACCGACTGAAATTTTACAATTCCTTGGTAATAATTGCATTCCTGCATTTGGAGTTATTATTAATAAGCAAGTTAGTGTTTCAGAAAAGGTGAAAGGTACGAAATCAATTATTGTGTCCAGTCCATATTTATTTTAAGAATGCTGACCATTTAAACAAATATGTAATTTGCAAAGCTCGTAATTTGTAACATCCAGGCCACGTGTACCCCCTTCGGACAACACGATGTCGTCGTCGCCATGCTGCCAAGTTTGTCGAAATCTGGTCAAAACCACAACCTCTTCGTCGCCGTCGACTTATCCATTTAATCGTCGATCCTCGCATTGGAGGCAGCTTTGTTCCTTGATCGGATCACAGTTTCCGGTCCCCCCATTTTGCTTGACCTGCACTGGCCAATTGTCCCACCTCCTCGGCCTCATCAAAAATTACAAGAAGATCGAAAACGAGCTGAAAAGAGGGGTCGCCACGTTTCAAAAAAAGCCAGGTTAGTTAATTTTAACCCTGATTAACACTTAATAATCAGCGGAAAACAATGTTATAATTTTGACCATTTTTATTAGACAAATTCAAAGTGTTTAAACCCATTTTTTACATTTTCTCTAGAAATTTTCACACTTTATATGAACAATTGGGAGTATTCACGTCACTTAAAAACTTTCCCGTATTTTGGAAATTCGTGGGGTGAACGACTTTTGTATTTTAAATGAAAATATGTAAACCGGAAAAGTTACGAGAAATTAAAATTTATTTAATGACTCGACGACTTTACGCGAAAAATGTTTTACGATGGGTAACATTTTTCGCAAACATCGCAAAACACGGTTGGGAAGCGATGTTCACGAACGGCTTTTATGAAGTTGACGTGAATACCCCAATTATACTTTTCCTAAAAACGCATTTAAAACGCATTTTCAACATTTCTTAATCACTTTATGCACAGGTCTCGCCACTAAAATCGACCCAAATCCGCCCGTCAACAATACCAAAATTACACCAAAATTACGATGTCCTCCTCCAAAAACAATTTCCCCATTAAAAATCAAGCTCACCACGAAACGTCCCCTGGAAGTCGAGGCCGAAGAAATTGATCACAACTACGATACGGAGTTTGATAATGGCTTATCTTGCAACCAAGATAACAACTCAATTCCTGCGTCCAAAAAGTTGCTCAGAAAACCCTCGCAAAGTACGGAATCCATTACTCACAATTTAACTCCCCTACTTAATTCATATTTATCCACAGAAAATAATTTTTTACATGCAATAGATTTGACGGTTTTTAAGCGAAGTCTATAAGTTTTAGAGCCAACTTTCTCCAGAAATTTACAGTTTTTATGTACATATTTAAGTAATTATTTATCTTTTCAAAAATTCATGCTCACTCACTTTTTGTACAGGTCTCGGTACTAAAATCGACCCAAGTCCGCCACTCAACAAACTAACGAAAACTGTACAAAAATGATGTCCAAAAACAACTGCCCCATTAAAAGTCCAGCCCGTCACGAAGAAACGTCCCCTCAAAAAAATCAAGACTGGACAGGACGACGACGAAACGGAGCATGAAAATGGCTTATCCTGCCCCCAGGATAACGACTCAGTTCCTCCTGCCAAAAAGTCACGCCCAAAAAGTATCCCAAAACCCGTCAAAGTTCCCATCGAGCGCAGATTCTACGAGAACTACGAATTCGCCCCGATCAACGACACCTTGACCTGCTTAACGTGCGGGTGGTGCACGAACAACCCGGCGACGCAGAGCTTCGATATCTGCAACCACATCAAGAAAGATCATCTACGTAAGTATGCTAAATAATTAATTTCAAAGGGTCCGTTCGTAAATTATGTAACACAAAAATTTCGATTTTCTAGACCCCCACCCCCTCCCCCGTTTAATTCCCTTTATGCAACATGCCAATATCATTAGAGCTTTCGCACGGTACATAATTTATAAACCCAAAGTTATGAAAAATTTCAAAATCATTAAACTTTTCCTGAATCATGAACAGTTTAATGATTTTGGAATTTTTCAGGTATCCTGTTCTATTTATTTCAAACTATAATGTAGCCATTTCATGTACTGCAAGGCAAGCAAAGCAAAAAATGCGATGTGCAAAAAAGTGCAAAAAATAAGCGCCATTTAGCCATCTTCGTCGTATGAAGGAATAGTTGGAGGGACATAGTTTCTGCGAAATCAGGTCAACATACCTGCAAGAAACCACTCTCTCATTTCTTTAATACTTGCTACTGATTCTTCAATAAATAACACAAAAATATAAAATATTTACATATGTAGTAATAACCTAATGCTACTAATTTTTTCAGGTGATCACCGCTGTCCCAACTGCGACAAGAAATTCGTCAGCTCAGCCGGCCGAAGAAAACATCACGCAGTGTGCAAATCTCTCGTCCCCTGCAAAATCTGTGGAAAACCGGTGCCCAAAGGGAAACTCGAGTGGCACACGTGGTCTCATAAATCTCCTGAAGAAGCTCTCGCCGTTCAGAAGGCGAACAGTGAAATGGCTTTTATCCAGTGTGCAAAATGCGGAAAACTTTACCACGGCGTCGCCAAATTGTTGCATCATCAGTCCCTCTGCAAAATTAATTGGCACGACGAGCTGGACATGATTCCCGCTTCTTCGGAGGTCACGTGCCCGACATACGGTCGTCCCGTGCTGAGAGAGGAACTTCTTCCCCGCCACGAGTGGACACATTTGAACGCGTTCGAACAATGGGGAACAATTCGGAACGGGAAAATGCCCAAATTTCAATTGAGTCAGATCCTCCTGGAAAATGGGAAAGTTAGCGAGGCGCAGATTAGGAAGTGGATGCAAATTAGTTGAGATGGATTGATTGATAGCGGTGGATTTTTAAACTTCGTCCAGAAGCCAAGTGGTCAATTCAGCCGCAACGTATCAAAATTGCATGAGGCGTATGTGCATAATTTGTAACTACACTCTTAAAATTAAAATGTATGCAAATAATGCAAGTTTTTATTTCTAAACATTATTCGCAAACTATTTGCTACGATGCGAATTACATATATCATACGAACATATGTAATTTGCATTCCCCGGTTTTTATTTATTTATGACTTTTTCATTTCCAACACGTCGACCCCCAAACTTTGTAGGGATGTTTATCAACACTTGTGGTTATCAAAAATTGAAAAATGTTTTCAATTTTAAAAAATATTTTGGACATTTCGTAAATATAAATATTTTTGGCAATATTTCGCCATTTTTTAAGAAAATATATTTTTTTCACGATATTTTGGTTTTTTTGTAGTATTTTTTGATTTTTTAATGTTTTTGTTTGAATTTTTTTATTTTTTCGTAAATTCTTATTTTCATGACATTACACTAATGTGCACATACATGACGGAACGACAAGAAATGCAATAGCAATACAATAACATCGGTTGAAGGATTCAACCGGAAGCTGACGAGTAGAAGGTCGCAAGTAGTCGAACTCCTTTGTTGCGGGGCTCTATGACCATATATAGAAAAAGCGAAGAAGGACTCGACTCCATGGGGCCAATTGTGTTCGCCACACCCACTAAAAGGCGTAAAAGCTGCGAAAATTGTTTCACTTAAATCATCGCCAAAAATCGAGTTTTGCTCACATTTTGAAAATATCTTCATTTATGTGATCTCAGATAGTTGCTCTATCATATCCAATACCAAACTCAGCTTTTTTGAAATCTTCGATATTTTTCAAAATATTGTGACGGGCATGTATCGAAAAAATTCGAAATTTGAAAAAAGTTGAGTTTGCTATTGGATTTGATAGAGCACTATCTGAATTTTAAAAAAATGTAAATATTTTCAAAATCTAAGCAAAACTAGAATTTTGGCGATGATTTTAGTGCGGCAATTTTCGCAGCTTGCACTCCTTCGAGTGGGTGTGGCGGACACAATTGGCCCAATGGAGTCCAATCCTTTTACACTATTTGTATGGCAATAGACACACAACCCACAACCAGGGATAGTCAAAATGCATATCTTAAATACAACTGTATTTTGAAACTACAAAATTCGTATTTTGTATTTTATTGTATTTAAATAAATACAAAATAAACCGTAGTAACGTTAGAAGTAGCTCACCCTGTCACAATGGAGATATGACTTTGCACCGAATGTGCGGAATAAGCCGACAAAATAGATCATAATTTTTATATTCTTGCACCAATGGTGCATTATTACCAGAAGAATACAGAAAATGGACGAAACAGTTTGCACCACTTTAGCCAATATTAGCTGCATTCAGGGTTCGCTACCCCGGGTTTTTGTGGGTTGGGGTTTTTGGGGTTTTTGTGGGTTTTTGGGGTATCAAATCTCCGGAAAAACCCTAATGCTTAATGGGGTTTTTGCGGGTTTTTGTGGGGTTTCTGTAAGATTTTGAGGCATATTGAAACAAAATCCCTTAAACTACAACGTAGATCAATGCTAATTAACTTTTCTGCCTCATCTTGAAATTTTGAGAATTTTCATTTGCGACTTGAATTTCCAAGTATCATTGCATATTTCCAGGTTTACATGTCAAACATGAATTTTCGATGTAATAGTCCAAGTCAATGATAACGGTTAAAATTGCATGTTAAAATCGTATATTAAATTAGTTTTTCTCTAATAAATAATTTTAGGAATTCTGGTTCAACCTGCCCCAAAATCTACAAAAACCCACAAAAACCCACAAAAACCCCAAAAAACCCAGAAAAACCCACGGGGTTGGGTTTTTCTACAAAAACCCCGGGGTTTTCCGAACCCTGGCTGCATTAGCGTGCAAACTGAGCCATAATTTCGAAAACTTTGTCAAAATTGTATGATCATTTCTCCCGGATATTCTGCACTATTGGTGCGTATTGCATTCCTTCCCCCAATTATTTCGCATCATTTTGGGTTCCCGATTGTTAGATATCAACGGTGCTACTAATTTGTAAAAAAATGGAGCTGGTCCATTTTAATTAATTTCATCGGTTATTGGAATTGGTTCGATTGGAACTGCAGTTTTGGTTCGATCTGCATCTTATCCCCCAATTGTTTCGCATCATTTTACATAACCGATTGTTCGATACTAACGGTGCTACTTATTCCAAAATTGTAGTACTTTCTCGATCTATTTGCACAATTAATTCGCACCATTTGCGCCACGGATTGTTCGACACCAATGGTGCGCCCCACTTATCCAATAATTGTCAAGGGGCTGTTTAATTAGCATCAATTGATGCAAAAAATTCGTTAACAGACAGACGGACAGATGGACAAGAGGAATTCAATAGCTCCCGCAGGGTGAGCTAATAAAGGGAGAAACTTTGGAAAAATGAGAAAGTCAATGTAGATCTTGTAGAACAAGAGTTCGACCTATACTTGCATTTGCAATTTGACTTCCCCCTGAAATAGGAACATTTTGATGCATCAAGAGTTTCAAAATTTGAAAATTGGCGGTTTTTTTACGTACACAGAAATCGTCAAAAAACTCTTTGCCCCAGCCATTTGCTTCTGACAACCTGATGCCAGATTTTTCCTCTTGGGAAGAGCTACATTTTCTGCTCTTGTTGCCCGAAGGGAAACGCTGGGACCATGAGATTTTTGGGGTCAAATTTTCTGACGGAGTGGCTTATACGGCAAGTGCCGTAACAAACGAGGGCCAATGATATATCAACATTTAAGTTTTTTGTATTTTGATAAGCCAACATTTAAGTAACCCAGTATAGTTAATTAAATAAGAGGCGTGATTGAGTGAGCGCGACAAAGTGCGACGGATACGACACTGACGCGCTATGGTGGTGGATACCCACCAGAACCCGAGTTTTACACTTTGTCTCTCGAAATATGGAAAATGCTTTTATGGAACGATTGGTCTGGTTTATCTCTGCATGATTGATTATCTATCCACAGGGGAAACACATCCGCCGTAAATGTGTGCAAAGTTTCACACACATAAATATTATCCTCATTACTTAACTAAAGTACTTTGTAATCGTGATATATCTAGGTCACAGTATCGATAACCAATAATCAATCTTTTTTACTCTCTTTTTTTAAGCAGATAGATATTTGGTGGAATATAATAATGTATAATTCGATTCATTAAATGTGTCATTTAATAAATCTGGGTCGATTATAAAGTAAAACTCTGCGAAATACCGCCCTTCCATATATGTACATTATTGACAAGGACGATAAATATGTTGTCCAGCAAAAACAATTCAATTAATTGATAACACAAAAACATGAAACATCATTTGATTAATGTGTCAAATAATTAGTTATAACTGAATAATCGGTTGTCATTGCAGGTATCATTTCAAAAATCAGTTCCATCCAGGCAAGAACTCCTTGTGTAACCGGCTTCCCCCAACAAACTGACCTATTTATATTTATGATGATATTTCCTACACTTTCCTGTCTCCTTTTCCTCCTCCCACTTATTTTGGGCAAGTCTGTGAATTATTTGGGTCTGCAAACAAAAATATTTCATCATTAGAAGATCATTTAATTATAGATTTTGGTTCGAATTTAGGTGGAAGTAATTATGGAACACAAGAATATTTTGAGTCGTCTATGTACAACGTTAGCACAACAGCGGTATAATTTCCTCCACACATTGCATTATCATTTGAACTTCTGCATATATATGTTTAGTAATATTATATAACACAATTCACTAAATTAAGATAACCTGGGGAGAAGCGTATTTCGAATGTGTTACAACACATCATGGAAGTTTAGTTGCAGTGGAAACGAGTGGAGAATATGAATTTGTGCGTGCTCTCATGATACGATATGGAGTTGGTATACATATGTCCGCCATTTTGACCGAGTTAGATGAGAGGTCACATTAAATAAATCTATATTCTATTTAATTAGGTCGAATTTGGACGGATGGAGTTTTTGATGGTAATACGTTTCGATGGACGAGCACTGAAGCCGCGGTGGACCTTGGTGACTGGGCTGAGTGGGCTGAGGGCAACCCCATCCTCCAGGAAAATTATGCAATTTCTATTCAAAATAGTTTATTTAATCCAAGTCTTTGGTATACGGAGGAATGGAGCTCGACTCATGCCTATATATGTGAAATAAAAATGTATTTTATATTTAGCATGGCCGGGTAATTAATGCGTATAATATATTAATACCGTACTTATCAAAAATTAGCGAGTCAACCACTCTAACTGATGCAGCCACTCCAAGTGAGACAACCTTCCCAACTGAAGCAACCACTCCAAGTGAGACAACCTTTCCAACTGAAGCAACCACTCCAAGTGAGACAACCTTCCCAACTGAAACAACCACTCCAAGTGAGACAACCTTCCCAACTGAAGCAACCACTCCAGGTGAGACAACCTTCCCAACTGAAGCAACCACTCCAAGTAAGACAACCTTCCCAACTGAAGCAACCACTCCAAGTGAGACAACCTTCCCAACTGAAGCAACCACTACAAGTGAGACAACCTTCCCAACTGAAGCAACTACAATGGAAGCAAGTCCACACAAATTTATTTCTTAACATTTCTTTTACCTGTAAATAATTATATATGTACCTAGTGGGCTGATGCTAGCTGTAAGTTGCTCTTAACGGGAAAACCGCTGGAGATAATCAAAATCTGATAAGCGCATTGGCTTCCCCGTGCGATTTTACATAAATACCGCATCTCCGTTTTTAATTAGTTGCAAAGCATATAAGTAGGCGAACTCTTGAAATTAGGCGGGCGACGATAATTTTTATTAAAGAAAATGCGAAGAAAAATGGTGAATATGAAAAATGCGACAGGAATCGAACCTGCGCTTTCATTTAGTCCAACGGACTATAGAAACATTCATCTGGACCTGGCCCACTAAGAACAGTCGAAGAAAGAATTTTTGAAAACCTACAAGCACCACACCCATGCTGAAGGCGCTGGAAGCTAGAATCCGAAAAAATTCTCGAAATTCAAACGGAAAATAGCCTCACAGCTGACATTTTCGATGTATATTATCCAATGAGTGCTTAAACTGAACCTTAGGCTTGGGGCTTTGAAACATAGCACTTGACGCATGCTGACTATCACTCAAAATAAAACCAGGTTAAAGAAATGCAGGGCTCTCTTTAATAGGTACGCTAAAAAAAAGAGTAAAAAAAATCCTCGTTCCAGATGAGCAGATTTTCACTGTGAAGGACTTTTTAAACAAACAAAATGACTTCGTCTACGCAAAATTGGTCAAAGATATCCCTCAATATAGAAAGAAGGTCGAACGTTCCCATTAGCCATGTTTTGTGATGGTTTTTGTAAGTAAGAGCTGATTAGGGATAATTTATCCTCTTTTCGTCGAAACGGGGGGGAAGGTGAAAGGAAAGAAATTCTTGAAATACATTTTTGAGTCCGTGGTACATCTACTAAATGAGATCCAAGTCAATGGAGTCGACTGGACCTCGCTACAGGACATAGTACCATTAAATAGTGCAAAAAATGAGCAAAGGGAGGCTAAAAAAACAATTCCGAACTTTATTTCCGCTTGGGAATGTCGTCGTCCCTGTTGGATTTGAATCTCTGGACTATGAAAAACGGTCAAAATTAGAGGCAAAGGTGTGTTCTGAGCCTCGTAGAAGTGTGGCGGCTTTAAAAAATTCTTTGACCCCTAAATGGTACAATTTGTCCATGGATTCACGCCGTGCTCCAGTCGAGGACAGGAGGTGACATCTTCAGCGTTGCATTAATGGAAGGGGAGGAAATTGTAAAAACTAAAAATTGTTTTCTACTCAGAAATTAACTGGCTTTCCATTAAAATTAACCAGAAATGTGCATCACAAAAACTATTGACGCTACAGCAATTCATTTCACTTACAGTCACGGAGGGCCACCCTGTATATATATGCATGCTATTCCATAAAGACCCAATAAATTGGGTTTGCCCTTCCGGATACGCTGGCCCTATCGCACATCCGTTCAATTGTTCCCTTCACTACAGTTGCACACTTGACGGGTCTCATTCCCTACAAACATGTGGATTTGGTCTCTTCTTCGACGGAGTATTTAAAAAATTGTGAGGACGGAGTCTATGGGCGACCCCATCCTCATCAATCCCCTCCCTCTCCCCCTACTTGGTCTCGGGAGCATGGCCAGACCACTACTCCGGAGAACCAAGCGTCTCCGTCGCCATTGCTCTCATCCTGGCTTCCACGCCGTCTTCTCCTCAGTCCCGCACCACCTAGACTCGACTACGCATCACAATTGTAGTCGATGCGCGACTCACCTCCAAACTTCCCAAAGTTTCTGGGGAAGATAATTCTTTGTCAATCTCTCTCTCTCTCTTGTAAATTCACACACATAAAGTACACACACACACACATAATCGTTTTTATAAACGTTTTTATAACACACAAATTTAACAATTCGTAGTGTTATAAAAACTTACCTGTTTAATAAATAGTGCTGTTAGTAAGAAACCATAAAATTGTGCAGAGAAAGGAACATTATTGGGTGTCAAGTGAATCTTCATAAATTTATATTCCCATATTGTGCACGTACAGTAACTTGGACAGTTAAATACGCATACGCCTCCATATTGTGCATCACGGAGTGTTCTACCAACGCGTCGCAGTAGAACCACTCCCCCATCCCCCCTTTTTGTGGTGGTGACCCCACCACGGGCCCCAGCAGAGCTGAAGAGGTCCTCTATCCGACTGTAAGGGTATTCTCACCGTGGGACTCCGGGAACGACCCCCACCACACCCCAAAAGTGGACAATTCTGCCCACTTCCTCATCATCATCATCCGGCCCTCTCTCAGCATCATCATCAATTCATCCCCTCATCCCTAAATAATAAGAAGGAGTTGAATAAGGAATCGTGGGATCCCCGGAGGTTCCCGTACGAGGCATCATCCCCCCGTCCCCCAGAGGCATAATTCCCCCGGGGACCACGACCCTTAACATCAATCCCTTCAAAATATTCATCTCTACTAAACGGGTTCAAATATTTATCTCCTCTTCTTGCAGATTCACGATTACACGTGCAAATTTCCATTCGAAGTACCACAATGTGTAGGGGGTACACTAGCAATGCGATGGTGTGAAGTGTAACCCTCCGATTTGGCTGAAATTTTAAAATTAGGTGGTCCAAGCCAATACAACTAACGTTTCTTCAGGCAGTTTGTGCGATGGTGAGAGTTACTCAAAATATTTGAGGTCAAAGTTCAAAAAACGGCCAATTTTTTTCAGGCGGAATGAGAAAACTCCACTTCCATTCTCTTCCCCTCGCTTTGATTTGCACTCCGAAAAGTAATTAATTTCAACAATTTTAAATTTAATTTTTTATAGAAAAATATTAATTATTCATTGCACATGTGACAATCTGATTATTTTCATAAAAGTCCACAGAACAATACGATAAATTGCACCAGCTGAATTTGATGAATATGGGATTGGCACAATTCAGGTCGCAACTAATATTTTTTTGAGGATTTTGATTTCGAAAATTGTCCCTGAAGATGATACAAGTGTGTATTGAAAGCTAGGAATAAATATATCTGCATTTTTAAAACAACCATGTCGTCCGATAAATCCAATACAAATATTTTTTTCTCCAAAACAAACTTCGCTTACATTTTTAAACTCGGGCTTTTCGGTATCACCCCATAATCCGCTCGAGTACCAACAATATCGAATCATTGGAACAAACACAGGAGCACTTAAAATATTAGTATATAATTGGATATTAGAATAACCAACGCTTTCGAAATGGAAAGCAAGTTCGTTTTTCCATGTTTATTTGCCGTTGGCGAATTTATAATATAAATTAACTTTTATGTAAAATAAGAAGAGATATCTAGAAATAAGTAAAAATTTCACTTATTTAGCTATGAATTAAATTAAGTATGTATGCATAATGCGTATTAATTGCTTTTTAAGCTATAATTAATAATGTTTATTTTTTATTATTTTGAATCAAAGCTTGTGCTTGTGCATGAAGGCGTATGCGTGAGCGAGACACCTGAATAAAATCAAAGCGGGGGGAAGAGAATGGAAGTGGGGTTTTCTCACTCCGCCTGAAAAAAATCGGCCGTTTTTGAACTTTGACCTCAAATATTTTGAGTAACTCTCACCATCGCACAAACTGCCTGAAGAAACGTTAGTTGTATTGGCTTGGACCACCTAATTTTAAAATTTCAGCCAAATCGGAGGGTTACACTTCACACCATCGCATTGTAAGTACCAGGACATACTCCACTCCCCAGGACAACTACGATGAATTCGATTATTTTCCAAGACAGTTTCTATTAATTGTTGGCAATTTGGAATGTATGTCATGAAAGATAAAATAAATAAATAAATTCATTCATTTTTCCTGATTTATTTTATATGTTGGCCACAGATTGTGTATAAGTGAAGTCACGTAAAAATGAAAGTTTCTCACACCATCTCACCCCCGTGTCATGCATTCCACACGAGTGAAATACGTGGTGCAAGTCGCCCTGTGAAGCAAAACTTTTACAATAAACTTTTACCATCCCGGTACCTCCCGAACAATCGGACGCCGCTCAGAAGGCAAAGTGTGAAACGGCATTAATCATATGATGAAAATGCGGAAAACTTTACCACGGCGTGGCCAAATTGTTGCACCATCAGCCCGGCTGGAAAATTAATTGGCACGAGGAGCTGGACATTATACCTGCCTCGTCGGAGGTCACGTGTCCGACATGCGGTCGTCCCGTGCTGCGAGAGGAACTTCTTCCCCGGCACGAGTGGGCGCCTTTGAACGCGTTCGAACAATGGGGTGGAATTCGGAATGGAAAAACGCCCAAATTTCAACTCAGGGTCAGATCCTCCTGGAAAATGGGAAGTTAGCGAGGTGCAGATTAGGAAATGGATGCAAATTAGTTGAGATAGATTGATTGACAGCAGTGGATTTTTCACTTTCATCCAGAAACCAACATGGAAAAATTGTCACGTACTTATAACTTCAAATTACACTTAAAAAATAATGTTACCCTTTTTATAAAGTAGACATATGCGCTCTAAATTCTAAATTAAGTAAACTATCTGTACTAAATAAATCCTGGATAAACTTTATTCTTTACATATCAACCCCATTGACCAAAGTGGTTACTGAACACGTATTTTATTCGTCCGTAATGGACGAAAGGACGAGTCGAAGTTCGTGTTTAGTACAAGTTATAGACGGGCTGGTACGGGGTGAACGGGCGCCGGTAAACGTGCTAGGCTCGTCCTTATCTGGTCCGTTAATACCAAAACGGAACCAATTGAGAACGTCCCTGGAACCGGGCTGAATTCGTTCTAATCACGCTCTTATGCGGTGCAAATATACGAAAATAGTACGAGTATGTAACCACCAAGAACTATTTTTTACTCAATTTATTTATATTTATATTCGTAGCTTTAATACAAATTAAAATATAAGTAGCAATTAATTTATGACGAAACGTGCTCTGCAATTCCATCCAAGCTGCATCTAAGTATAAATATGTCTCACATTAAATAATATTCTTAAATATTCTTAATCTACTAAATATATGAAGGTTACGTATATACCTTTTTCTTTCTTGCGTTGATCAGTTGATCCTGGCAGGAGCTTTGTTCAGCCAGTTCTGGATGCTTTCGTCGATGTCTTTATGCGTAGCTAATGACATTAGTGAATTTGTCCGGACGGCAGCTAAAATTGAAAATAGTTAAAATATGCACCCGAATGAAGCAAGGACGAAAAGTTTAAATTATCAGCCTTACAATAAACACAGCTTTTGATCTTTTCACGATCTTTAAAAGATTTTTTTCCGCGTTGACCCGCCAAACTTTGTGTTGCTGCAAAATCGTCCGTCATCAAAAGTGTAAGCACGCGGTAAATAGCATCTGTGCCTCTACTGCATGAGCCTAACAATCTCGCTATCTAGAAATTACAATACAATACATAAATTATGATAAACAGAGCTAAAAAGATTGGGTGAACTTAAAAGCTTGATGTTAACCAATGCTTGTCGAATTTTAGGGTCAGCTCTTTTTCGTTCCAATTCGTCATACTCCGTTAAGTTGTTTAATGGAATAACCTTTTCGTCGTCATCAAGGTCTTCGATAATCGTCCTATTTTGATTACGCAAAGTCAGATGTAAAGTTTCTCGAAGCTCGTTAATGGTCGCTTGAAGGTAATCCAGTTTACGAATTATATCTGCACCAAAAAAATAGATACGCCCCTAAAATTTAAATTGTTACTGTAGAAGGAAGTGAACTGGATACCATGGGTTTTTGGAGTAAGTGCAATTGTTCCATTAAATGACCCTTGATCAATATTTTGGCTTCGTACCTGGGACAAAGAACTCATCGGGGCTCGTCCTTTGAAGAATTAGTTATTTTAATTATATTAATTAATGCAAACAAGTTAGAATGAAACGGTAAATTATGTTTACGAATGAGTTAGATTGTTTAGGTTTTACATGTAGCTCTTCTTTAACGGACTATCATTCTCGTCATCGCCACTTGAGTCAGCGTTAAAAAGTTTTCTGTTGACAGTCTTACGTAGTCGACCCCCAGTTCTGCGCCACTACTAATCCCTCCTCCTTGTGCAAGAAGTGGAAGATTTAGGCGAGCATCTTCGTATTTTCCTAAACAGAATATAACTAAAGTTTTAACGATACACCCACAAACTTTATATTATAACTAATGTAAAAAATACTACATACCGTATCGTTCAACTATTTCAGTCTCAAGGATTTTCCAAGTTTTGGCGTCTGGTTTACTGAGAGTTTAGTAATACTCGCGAATTTTAAAAATTTTTAGTAGCACGTCTGGTAATTTTTTTCGTCGAATTTCTGTAAATGTCCTCTGTCCGACCGCTAGCTGCTGACTGGAAGTAAAACTAGAAGCAAAAACATCCATGCTGCCAAATATTTAAATGTGGCGCACTAGTTTCATCGGACTTCGTCCCTCGGCCGTCTTTAACACGTCTAAATTCAAACAACCATACAACCCCATCTCGAGGTGGTATGGTTGTGACCACCTCCGTACGTCCTAAGATCGAGCCCCTGGTACCGGGCGAAGCTCGTGTCATACGTACAAACTAAGCACGTCTTTTACCGGTGCCCTTGGTCCTGGACGAATCCAGCACAAATATTACCAGTTAAAAACGTGATGAGAACCAACTGGTCAATGGGGAAGTTAACGTTACTCTGGATTTATAATACGTAGTTTACTTAATTCAGACTGCATTTACATACATTTCAAATGGTTAACATTATTTTAAGGAGTGTACAGAAAATTAATTAATCTCAATAATTTAGGATTTATGTTAAATATTTTTCAGAATGATTCAATCTACTTTTGTAGCGCCATTTCTATATTTACTGTCTTCACAAATATAAAATTAAGCCTACATAAACTAGGTACACTCTTAGCAAAATTGTTACCAAATTATTACCAGACTGTACAAGTATATGACTCTACCAGAATGGTAAAGAATTATTACGGATTAAAGATGATTTATACCAGCGCAGTAATAACTGATTACCTAACGGTAATAAATTCATACCATGACAGTAAAACCGTTCATTACCTCGTGGAGCACAATCTGTACTATTTGGTAATAAATAATTACCATCACGGTAACAACTTCCTTATTAATCGTTACCACATGGTTGCAAATCAAATTAACACGGTAACGATTCTGTTCATAATCTGGTAACAAAATTTATTTTCAACCTTAGTATTTAAAATGATCTGACGAAATTAATTGTTTTTAGATAAACACGTTACAAATAAAAAATAAAATATTAATTGTTAACATTAGTATGTACATACTTATGTATGTATGAATCAAATATAAATGTATATAAATAGCACAATACACATATAAATGATGTAAAATATGTAGAATGAAATGGATAGACAGTACTGTAAACAAAAAAGTGTAGCTTCTTATTACATAAAACTAAAAAAATTATTAAAGATTTCTTCATATAAACTATTTGGGGACCTGGACCAGCAGCAGGATCTTGTAAAAAAAATTCTTGCTCCGTGCCCATGAATTATTATTGTTAATATGTATATACACTACAACAATAATAATTTATTATTAAAACCATAACCTTTTAAAGAAACTTCTAAAAATACCAAGAGGAAATTACTGATTTTTCATCTCAATAAATTCGACACTCGAATTAACTTAAGTTTTTTATTGCGTGGCAGCAGACTGTTGCTTACTTGGACGCGAAGTAATTAAGCAAAGCGCCGTAATTATTACCAAATTATATAAAACTATAACTCCCCGGTAATAAATTTTTACCATGTAAGTAATACTAAGTATTACCAATATGCTGAGTCATGTCCTTACCGATCAGTAATAAAATAGTAACAAGCTTTATTACCACTGCGGAACAATCATGCTTACCGAGGGCTTGGTAAAGATGATTGTTAAGATTTTATTACCAGTTTGTTAAGAGTGTAGGTATGTACATCTAGGTATAATTCGTATGATTATTTATCGAAGCGTTCAAGATTATGTGAAAACCATAGTTTTTCATCGAAATTATAGCAAAAATGCATATAGTAAATAATTCTTACATTCTGTTTTTTGAACTGATTTAAACTTTGTATGGTTTACAAACTTTTGGAATCCGTATGGTGGAACCTTCACAATAGAAAAATCCATGCAAAAAATCCATGCTTTTACTTCGCAACATTATTCGCAAATGATGCGAATTGCATGTATATTGATGTCTTTATGGCGTGAGTACATATGTCTGCATGCCCATCATTTGACGAAAGTTCAATCTATTCCTGGCCTAAAAAGCGTGTCTCATCAGACTATTTTCAGGAATTATTTACCACAAAAACTACACTTTCTTCCAAGGACGTCATTACTTTTATAGTAATGTGAATGCTGATGACGACAGTGAGTGAGTCACTCACGACATGGTATTAAATAAATCTGAGGGTGAAATGCATGCTTGCAAAGTGCTGGACTTTCTCTCACTGAGGGAACGTCCATGCATGACGTCATCCAAAAATTCGGATTTTTACACCAGCCACCCACCTACTCAGGATAATCTTAACAAATACCATTAACCAATATCTTTTTGATGACGTAATATACGCACGTTCCCTGTTAACTCACATGACGCAAGTTCCTTTCTCCTCGCAAGAGAGAAAGCGTTGTCGGTTTTGCAAACTTTTTTCGGCTCAGTTTGTGTCCGCAAAGCGAAATGAAACCTACTCGGGAGAAACCAGTTGCTTTCTTTTCGGCTGCATGGATAGCATATTACTCTCTCGGTCTATGCAGTCTTCACCTCGTTAGAGAAGGTAAAGAAGGTTTTTTTTATAAAATCGTGTTACTAATAAAGATTATTTAGTATAAATTTTAATTTTTCAAAAATATTTTATATAAATTTGTGTATTTTCAGTGGGATCCATTCCACAAGGCTACGGCCAAGAGGAAGAGAGTAAAAGAGAATGCAATTCTAGACTGGACGATACCTGCCAAACATTAGCGTAAGGATTCATACATAAATGACGATTATAATTTTTAAAAGTGTAGTATTCACAATAGTTGACATGAGTATCTAATATTGCCATTTTGAAATGCAAAAGCACTCTGAATTCTAAATTAAGTAAGCAATGATAAATTCAGAATGGTCAAAAGGGGGTAAACATTAATTCTTATATGCAGACAAGCTGAACACTGTGGGACCACGCCATACTGCATAAACTGCGTCTGGAATACGGCCCTTGTACCGAAAGATGACATCGACAAGTGCCGAATGTGTAAGGATGAAATGATTGCCGGCAGCCGGCGTAAGGTGGGCTGAACAATTCGATAATATTTACATACTTAGGGAACACACATAAATTATGTCACGCAAAAATCGCGAATTTCTAGACCCCCCCTTCCCTTAACATGTGTCGCAAAGGCAAGATATTATTGGATCACATATCATCGCCTGACATAATTTATGGACGGCCCCTTACTCACCTTCTGAAAGAAAGGTTTTCCAATTTTATTTTAGGATAAGTTAAAATCCGTACTCGAATATGTTTGCAAATTTCACGAAGATCAGGAAGACGTCGACGCGTGCATGGAGCTCGTGCAGGACCGCGATTCTTCAGGCTTGCTGGGTAAGAAAAACCATGTTTTATGAAGTATCGATCAGGACAACAAAAATTTGAAAAACCGGGTTAAGATTTTTCAAATTTACATAAAACCGATGGTTGGAGAAATGAAAAAACCAGTTTTTGATGACCCAAAAAGCAATTAATTCAATTTTGTCAGGTGAAATCATCAATCGGAACATGACCGCGCACGACGTTTGCGGTCTGCTCGCCCTCTGCTGGGTCCTCTTTGAAGTTTGGGTGACCAATGTGGACACATCCTCTTCCTTTGAAAGTAGTGCGGCCGCCGTCCTGTCCGAAAGCAGGGGACCTGTCGCCATGGCGAAAGGAGGTGGTGGGGGGAGGGGCGGTGGTGGTGGGGGCAGGGGTGGAAGGAGTGGGGGCAGATCGGGGGGTAGAGGGTGGATTGGTGGGTCGGGAAGGGGGGGTTCCGTTTCAGGTAGTGCAACGCCATCTTCTTTAAATATTCACAGAGTCGGGCAAAAAATTGAATTTTTAAGCGTTTTTTGACTCCCAGATAAGTTTCAAAAAAATTCAAAAATTTTAACAACTTAATTCATCGGCCAAACTGCTAATTAGCCGAAAATTTCAATTTCTTCATTTCATTATTAGAATTTATACCTTTTCATCACAAACTTATGTGTCTGGGAATTAAAAAATATGTAAATGTTTAACAGTGCCCAAACTTGCCTGGCCCGGCCCTGGGGATTTTTTAGGCCCGGCCCCATTTATTATTTGGCATTTGTGCGTGAAATTTTGAGTCTAAAAAGGTATCTTTAAAACAATTCTGATCGTAAGCAAGTCAGCAAAAGAATTAACAAGATGTCAATATATTGATTGTGTTAACTTCAACCACTTCTTACTTCAACGTTACAGAATTATGATTGTGCAATCTTTTTTGGAGGCGAAATTATTTATAACCACATCGAAATCAAAGGCATTCAATCGTTCTTGCCAATTGTTGACCTCAGATAATTCTTGATTATTTTCATCTGCAAAATGGCCCCTCATTTGACGGAACAGAAATGGGCAGACTGAGAAACATCCTCAGTGCCATCTCGAAGTTTAGATACGCACACGCGAGACCATTAATATGTATATATGTAGAATTTTCAGGATATCCAAGGGTCCTAGTTTAATTAGGTCTTTTTCAACTTTGTTAAACACCGACATAGTAGTGCCCAGACTTTGAACTTCGTTTAAAAATGTAGGGCCGCAAAACCCGCATGGGTACAATTTGCGTTATTATACCTTACGCGCTATAAAGTTTGAAAATTGAACTATTTAAGAGTTTTTAAAAAATTATTTTGATTTGTTCTTCGAACTATCATTTTCACCGAAGGACCTGGTATGCATCTGCATTGTGTACAAATAGGTGCAATAGCTCCAGATTTTTTAATGTCTTCGGTGATACAAAATCTACCCGGTACGTTTCTTTATTTGGTCAGCAAAAATATCGAAATCGAAGTTGGGCTTATCATTTTGACTGCACAATTTCCTGCTTTAGTAATTTAGTAAAATCAAGCATGTCCTGTTTTCGCCCTGTGACAATGTGACATAGGGTCTTACACAAAATTTTCAGGTTAGCGACGAATGGTCGACAAACGTTTCGTCGAAACCTGATTAGTCGACAAAACAGATATGTGGTCGGCAGAAAATTGGTCGAAACAGTGTATATGTCGAACATGTCATACTGGTCCCCAACTTAAAGTGGTCGACAACATATTAGTCGACCAACGTTACAAGTTTTAAGTAATCCTTGCATGGGAAGATGTATAATTTTATTACTACTTATCCAGAAATTCTGCCAAAAGATAGCATTACATCGATAAGTGAAAATTGCAGTGGCATAAGTTAAAAATATTACCATATTTGATCCAAATTAACATTTTTCTATCACGGTATGTGGACTTAGAATTGATACGCCGGGCTTGTTTCTCCCAGATTTTTTGCAACATGCACAATTCCGCACATCTATCAAATACACAAAGTTTTAGTTCAAAACTCGGGCCGATAAGAAAAAAACCATCGTTTTTAATTTTAAAATAATTACTTAAAACAACTCCATTTCCCATAACAGAACAATGCGTTATGCAGGAAGACTGCAAATCAATTGATGTGGATATGGAATAGTTTTATTTATTTTGAAGTTAAAAATCGATGATCGAGTTTTTAATTGAACTAAAGGTTATTCATTTAATACATATAAATATGTGTGAAAATGTACATGTTGCAAAAAAATCTGGGAGAAACACGCCTGCCGAACCCATTGGTACCGAAATCGTGAAGACAAATATTTTGTCGACGAGCTGAGATTGGGGACCAGCTGGTTGTCGACCAATATGATGTTGACGAGACAGTTTGTCGGCCACCCACTCGTCCGGAGCCCCAGATTTTCAGCTTAAATTCTACCTTTTATTCCAAGGTAGGTACATAACCATTGTTAGCTATTGTTCTTTTATGATCGACAATGTGATGGCATAGGTGCCTTTGTAGATTCGACATTTAAACCCAATGTGGCTGTTCAAAATCTTCGAAGCAATTAAGGACTTGTGATAGGTAGCGAACTTGTTCGTACAATAATTTTAGTGGACACAACTACCCGATACCTTCTGGGGATTACACCTGCCCTAGCTTTTTTAGTGTTTTCGGAGAGGTAAAAAAATTATGATGCATTTTTTACTTGGTCAGCCCAAGTAAGAATGCATAGATTGGGCTTATAATTTTCACGCCATAATTTCTCCATTTTAATAATTTGAAAGAATCAAGGATAAATTATTTTAGGCTCACAAAAGTGAAAAGAGTTTTTTTTAACTATGTTTTAATTTTAGGGTAATTATTGTTTATTTCTGTTCGATATTGGCACGCTACGAAATTGCTCAAAATCTTCGAAACGTTTAAATAATTTTCCGTGAAATTTTGTAGTGGACACCAAGGCCCGGCCCCCTTCGGGGCCCGGCCCTGGGGAAAACCCCCACCTGGCAGCCCCTCGTAAGGGCCCTGTGTTTAAAAATTTAATTTTGCATAAGTTGGCTAATTTACAACTCGTTAGTTTCAGGCGCGAGAACGACAGGATCCGTGAGTCGGGTCGCGTACGCGTCGCAGTACCACCGCGGGCGTGGGTATTATGTTCCAGTCTTTGTGAGAGGGGGAGGAGGAGGAGGTGGTAGTGGGGGCGGTTTGGGGAGGAGGAGGCACACCTGCAATTTGCAAGGGGAGGGGGAAGAGGAGACTGATTTTTTCTGGATGTGGGCAGTACTCGTGGCCATTGGGGTGTTTGGTATATTTTGGCTAATTTATAAAAAATGGACCAACAAGCTTTAATTAACTGACCAATTATAATTAAGAATGCCTAATGTCCAACCAGGGTAATGTAGATTTATTAATTGTGCATGAACAGAGTCGTACATACATAAACTGCTTAATATATCTAATTTGCTAAATTTTGCATATTATTCTGAGATAAAAGACTCAGCCCGACAATAAATTCAAGTTGTGCGTTTAGAAATAATATTTAAAACCTGGACAAATCTACAAAAAATAAATGCAGATTTTTCCTTTTTTAATAAACTATAGAGAAAAAAGCTTAAGAAGAACATATTCATAATTAAACTTTTTGGAAAAATGGATTATGTTTGTCTTCATGTATAAATTAATTCCAATCTGGAATTTCCAATTATGTACGTAATTCATCAATTTCAACAATTCAGGATTTAATGCATGTTATCAAATATTTTTCCCTTTATTTTAAAAAATTTGTACGTATTTACTTATGCTACGTCTTATTTTCTATAATTTCTGACTTAAAAAATACAAAAACAAAATATGTACTTATATAAATTACACTTGCTAATTTAATCTAAATATTAAACTGCTCAACAATATGTAAAAACCCTAATTTGATATCCAGGTAGACCAAAAATGAAACAATAATTAATTAAATAAATAAATTACGCAATTATACAAACAACTAAATTAATTACTCAATTAAATTACAAGCTTTATGTACCAAAAACAGAATCATACATAAATTACACAACTAATGATTCAAATATATTACGTGATTAACTAATCATTACAACCTTCAAGTATAAAACAGTTTGTAATCCTGCCTAACACTTTGATAAGCTTCACCTTGATGATAAGCACTTTCCTCCTCCTCTTCCTCCTCCTCCATATCTTCTTCCTCTTTATCTTTCTTTCGTCCCCCCGTTTTTCCGATATTCTTGACCCCCTCGTGCACCGCGCGCACGTGGAGGCGGACATTGACCCTCCGGTTGAACGCCTTATCACAAATTGGACACCGCCAACTTTGACTGGTGTGCATTTGCATATGCTCTCTTAAATTTCTCTCTTGTCGATAAGCCTTTCCGCACGTGTCACAGGAAAATCGGAGGTCCTCCGGCTGGTCGTGAATGGTCGCGACGTGATTATCGAGCACTGACTTCCGGACGAAGGACGCTCCACAAAGGGCGCAGATGAAGTTTCGTTCCTTGATGTGGACATCGGCATCGTGCAGGCGCAGGTTTCGTGCGGTTCGGAACAGTTTTCCGCATTTCGTGCAGAGGTGGTTTCTCTGAAAAATTAAAATGTGTATACAATTTATTGAATCATTTTTTCATTTAAAAAATGTTGAGACAATTCACGTTTAGGTTTGTAAACTGCGTAACTTTGATGAAATAATTTGACCCCAAAACTTGTAATCGTTCCAAATATGAGAAATTTTAAAAGGTAAATTACCAATTTCGATTGCAAAATTGTGACCAAAATGCAGAAATTTTTACAAAACAAGGGCATACATTTTAACAAAAATTGACGCAATTCACGCAGGCTTTGGTAACTTGTAAAATCTGGAAACCTTCAAAAATTCGGAGGCTAATTTTCCTTAGAAATATTAGTAGCAAAAGTTTGTAGAATTTGGTACGTTTACAGAATTAATGGATTTTGTAATGTTAATATCAAAGAATTGCGTCATTATTTTGCAATCTTTCATAACCTCTCAAATTTAACTATCAATCTGTTGTAAAATTTGCAAAATGTGAAAAATAATCCAAAAAATGACATAGCTACAAAATATTCTAATTTGAACTTAAAATTACAAACCTCCACGTGAATTCAATTTAATCTCAAAAATTTCAAACCTCAGCCGTGTGCGTTTTCAAATGCTCGCTCAAACCACTCGATCTGTACTCCTTCCCACACACGGGACACGGTTTCCTCTTCATGGTCCGAACTCGGATCCGTTTTTCTTTAACCTTTTCCCCCTCCAGCTTTAATCGTCGTCGCCTCTTTGTTGGCAAGGGGACGTCGGGATGTGCAATTCTCACGTGCTCGACGACCCTCTGATTTCGCGAATACGATTTATCACAAGTTTCCACTGGACAAGGGATCCGTTCTTGCGGGACAAGATCCCCTTCCAAATTTTTCGGGGGGTCTTCATCCCCCTCAGTTTTTACTCGTCGTCCAAACGTTTCTGGGATGGGGACATCGGGATGTGCAGTTTTCATGTGTTCTACGACCCGTTGATTTCGCGAGTACGATTTTTCGCAATCTTCTACGGGACAAAGGATCTCTTCTTTTTGTCCATCCGAATTTTTTTGCCGGGCATTTTCGATATTTCGCTTCTTCCTTGGTTTGTAATTTTGCAAGGGGAAGTCGGGATGTAGAATTTTTAAGTGTTCGACGACCCGTTGATTTCGCGAATACGATTTTTCGCAATCTTCCACCGGACAAGGGATCCGATCTTCACCATCTGCCCGAATTTCCTCGGTTTTTCGTGTCCGTCGATGTTCGACCTGCGGAACGTCGACGCCCGGATGAAAGTTTACGATGTGATCTCTGAAATGCCAAAATTGTCGAAAAACCCGGTCACAATTGTCGACCGGACATTCGAAAGGGGTAAAAGTGGAGTCGTGATGTTGTCGAATGTGGCGACGTTTTGCCGAAAGGGCGCCGAACGTTTTGGAACAGACGGGACATTGTAAAGGATTTGAAGATGATGAGGTGGCGTTGCCAATGTCGTCGTCGTTGTCGAATTTTGTGGGATTAGGCGGAGAATCGTCTTCAGAGGAATCGTCAGAGTTTGGAGAGGAGGGCGAATAATCGGGGAGGGATTCGCCATCCGAACTTTTTTGCCGGGCATTTCCGCTATTTCGCTTCTTGCTTGGTTTGTAATTCTGCAAGGGGAAGTCGGGATGTGCAATTTTTAGGTGTTCGATGACTCGTTGGTTTCGAGTGTACGATTTTTCGCAATCTTCCACCGGACAAGAGATCCGTTCTTTTTTCGGGACAATTCCCGACTCTTCACCATTCTCGGTTTTTGGTGTCCATCGACGTTTGAACTGCGGAACGTCGACGCCCGGATGATATTTTAAGATGTGATCCCTGAAATGCCAGGCTTGTCGAAAAACCCGGTCACAATTGTCGACCGGACATTCGAAAGGGGTAAAAGTAGAGTCGTGATGTTGTCGAATATGGCGACGTTTTGCCGAAACGGCGCCGAACGTTTTGAAACAGACGGGACACTGTAGAGGATTTGATGTAGATGATGTGGAGTCGCCCATGTCGACGTCGTTGTCGAACTTTTCGACGGAATGGCGCGGATTAGGCAGATAATCTTGGGAGGAATCTTCCGAGTCTGGAGAGGATGGCGAATAATCGGAAGAATTTGCGTCAGAATGGTCATCGACAGGATCGATGGCGAATTGGTCCATGTCGTCGTCCCCATCGTCGACTTCTAGTTTTTAGATAAACAAATATTAGTGCAATCATACCAACAAAATATGGACTGTTTTTGTCTTTCGTTAGTATCGCAGAAATTTTTCGCTACAAATTTTGGTAATTGGTTTTGGTATTGTAATTTAATTTTCATAATTTTGACGAGTAACTTTTTAAAAAAGTAACTCGAATATAAATGTTCCCGTCCCGTTATGAACCACCACCGTTGGCTCTTTTTAAAAAATATGGACAGCTAAACAACAGTCCATATTTATTTTGTGGAAACTTAATTAAGGTCTTAAGGTTTCTTTCAGTTTATACGGCAATTAACTAACTATGACACACAATGTAATACAATGATAATAAAATGATCCAAATTAAACCCAAAGTTATCGGGAGTAAGATAAGATTACCTAAAATTATATTATTTTCAACATTCGCCTCAGCTTCATGGTCGGATACAGGTTCGTCCTTAATCTCGTGAAATACACGAATTTCTTGCTTACAAATGTCCCCCGGGTTTTTGATCGTGTCGTTAAGCTCGTTATTATTTCCTCCTTTTTGAATCCGCAGAAAATTGAACGCTTCAAACGCTTTGTTAACAAGGGGAATTTCTTGTTGAATTTCTAAAAAATAGTTTATTAAATGTGATTTTATTTAAAATACTGGGCACAAAATGAATTTATGCTTAATTTTAATTTAACGCAGGATTAGATAACTTATCGTAAAAACAATTAAAATCAACACATTTTAAATCGTTTGCCTGCTCTGAGCATTTATTTTAAAATTCTGGACGACAAGGCGTCGAGTTTTTGAAGCCAGTTTCGATAAGTTCCAATTTTTATAAACGCTTCTTAAACTTGTGATTTGCTCCTTAAAAAAGTGCCAAAATCAGGAAACTTGGCCAAATTTTACAAAATTTGGCTGTACAAATTGGTCATCCAGAATTTTAAAATAAATTCCCAGCAGCAGAGAAATTGCTAAAAAGGTGCTCATTTTGACGATGAGTTATCTATAAAAACATACTTTCATTGAGGTCACGGGTCGCGGAAAATTTAGAACTTGTCGTCGCGGCGGCCGCGCGTTTGACCCTCCTGGCCAACCGGGATCGCAGAAGGTCCAAATTTTTGAGGAATTTGAGCAGCGATCGTAACTCCAAGTCGATGTCGCGCGTGAGTTGAAGGCAGTCCGCGCAGGTGAGGGCGGCCGTGGCGAGGTGCGCGGCGACGGGGTCCGCGCCGTCGATGTGGAACACGGTGAGCAGAGAGGTCACGCAGGAGGACGAGTAGGACGAAAGGGCCCCGCTTTTCGGGGAAGGGACGACGCAGGGTTCATGACCTCCGCAAAATGTGCACGTTTCCATGATTAGTGAGGTCAAGTGAGGTCACGTCAGGTCAAGTGTTGATCCCAACGGAGAAGCTGGAATGATAAAGTGTGAAATTTAATATCAATTTTTTTCCAGAAATTATGAATTTTTCGCAATTTTGTACGCACGTAGTCCTTGGTATTACCAAGGACTACGTGCGTACAAAATTTACGGATTTTACAAAGTTACCAAGTTGGTAACTTTGTAAAATCCGTAAACCTACAAATTTTATAAATATTTCGAAGGAAATGAGTTCCTAAATTTTTATTAACTTGCTCAGATATCTTTATTTTGTAAAAGTTAAAAAAAATTACTTGACAAATTGCAGAGATTTTACAGAGTTACCAATCACTACGTGAATTGCCTCAGGCTTCTCTTAAGAGAAGCATAAATGAATTCATTTATGAACACTTTATGAAATTAAAACAATATTTTGAAAACACGCAGAAATATTTTTAACAAATTACACTTTTTCTTCCCCGATGCTTCGTAAATAATAAATAAATACCTGCAACTTTTTGATATGTAAGAAATAACACATTTGTGCAAATTGTTATCTGGTTATACTGAATAGCAAACTGGTAATAATTTATTACCAGGAAATGTTGCAAGTATTTAGGAAAACTTTAAACCCCAAAACATCTGATGTGAGTTGTGAAACTTGCAAATTGGATCGCGCCCTCGACTTTGTTTCTCCAGTTGGCCGTCGTCCAACGCATGCAAACTTTTCATGAATGAAGCTGCTGAATAATAAAAAAACTGCAGTAAAAATGGATAAAAAACTGTTCTCATAAAAAAATGCATGATAACTTCATAAATAGTCGATTTCATGAAAAATTAAACCTATTCATGAAAAAAACTGCATTAAAACTTCATAAAAAACTGTTTCATGAAAACAATACTGCATGCAACTTCATATAGAGCTGGATTAATTTTTCACTTTACGGTTTACATATTTGCTACATTGAGAAATTTAGCAAGGCAAGTTTGAGATAAAATTCATAAAAAATAAATAACGAATAAATATTATTTCAAATTTTGTATAAATTAATAAATGACGAACAATTTTTTCCAATTTTTAAATCAAGTGAATTTTGAATGAATAAATATTTTTTGAACAGGTATAGTTACTACACTTCTTTGCTCCCCCCTCCCCAATTTCCTTAACTATAAGCACTTTCATCCTCCGGCATATATTCTCCCTCCATTTTTAATTCCCCCGTTTCATCGAAATTATTAACCCCTGGGTGGAATTTCCTCATATGCAGCTTGACGGAGGACTTCCGCCCAAAGAATTTCGAACAGATGGGACACTGCAATTCGTGAGCGTCCTTGGCGCTGTGGATTTTCATGTGCACGTTCAAACTGTCCTCGCGTGGGTACGACTTTCCGCACGTGTCACAGGCAAAACGTGGCTGCTCGTGCAGGGACGCCACGTGCTTTTCGAGATGCGACTTCCGGACGAAGGACGCCCCACAAATGGGGCAAGCGATTTTCCGTTCCTTAATGTGGACCAGGAGGTCGTGGTTTTTTAGGTTTCCTGGGGTTCGAAACCGTTTCCCGCATTTTGGGCAGGGATGGTTTTTCTAAGGTAAAAATAAATATATTTTTTAATTAAAAAGCTTTATAGTTTCACAAACTGGATAAATTTTGTAAAATTATTTGATACATTTTCTATAAAAATATCAATCTAAAATTTTACTGATCCAATTTTTAAATTGGGTACGGAATTTACGTAGTGCACTTTAGGGAAATGAAATATGTAATTCAGCTTTGCAAACTCGACAAAAATTTGAATACACTTCTGTTACAACCGTTTGCAAAATAATAATAGGCATAATTTAAAAAATTACAATAATATCGATAGTGAATTTTCATTTAAATTAATTTTTAAAATAAATAAATATCCAACCTGGTCCGTATGCGTGATCAAATGCGTATTTAGTAAAGCGGGGGATCTGAATTCCTTGCCGCACACGGAACACGGAAGTTTCTTGACGGCGTTATCTTTCTTAATCGGGATAGCGCTTCTCTCGTCCAAATTGATCTTTCCTTGCCTATGGGGATATGTCAATTTTCATTTGAACGAAATACATAAACCCGTAAATTTGGTGGGTACAGAAATCCAGTACTAAAATGATACCAAGTGGTATTCTTATGACAGGTATCTAAAAGTAGCGGCGAAAGTTGGGGGAGACATTGTGAGGTAGGAGGAGGACAAGCTTATTAACATGAATATTTCCGAATTTCTGGGGGGAAAATATCTGTCTCCCTGCTTCCGCCGCCACTGACAAGTAATAGCCCGATATTAAAGTTTTACCATATCCGTAATTATTTTGGGCCGTAATTTTAATACCAAGTGGTAGTAACTGTAATACCGGGAAATACCTCCGTGACTGTCAAAGATTTTTAAGAGTCTACGATTTATCATAGCCTCCAAACCAAACCTACCCATTTGCCCCCCGACGCTCGGTCGGTCTCTTCCTCTGGGGAAACGATACTCCGGGATGTTTCCACTCCATGTGACTTTTTAAATGAACAAATTCCTGAAAACTTTCCCCACAAGTGTCCACCTGACATTCGAGTGGGTTGCAATTTTTGTCGTGGACTTGGCGAAAATGGTGGACGTTTTCAAAAACCGAGACGAATTTTTTTAAACAAATGGAACACTGTAAATCGCCAGGATTTGGATAATCTACAAAGTCCGAGGAGAGTGGCAAAAAATTTGTGGATTCATCGTCATTTTCTTCAGTTTGACATAATTGAAGTGGGTCGCTGGCGAACTGGTCGTGGTCACCTTGAATACAAATTTAGAGCGTAACTTTTACGTTAAATTTACACTTTGATTAATTAAGTTTAAATGGAAATTCCATTTAATTAATTCCATTATGGAATTAATTAATTACCAAAAATCTCGCCGTCCTCGCCCATCCACGGGGGTTCATCGTCACCAGATAAGGGCTCCTCTTTAATTTGACCTTGCTCAGGGTCATCGCGTTCTTCCGGATCGAACCTAATGACCACATTTTTCGGGGTCATTGACATTTGTCCTGTTCCTTCAGTTGACTTGGTTCCTTGACCTTTGGCTACCTCTTCTCTCAGGATTTTTAACCGGTTCGAAATTTGGCTCCCATTTCCGCCCAGGGATTGGAATTGGATTGAAATTTTGTACATTTCCTGAAAAATTGTGGCACATTTGGGGCAAAATTCCAAGGGGGAGGAGGAACCGGGGACGGCGTTGCGCGGTGACCCCAACCAGAAGGAAAAGAGGGAGGAAAGTCCGGCAGAAATGGAAATATTTGTCCCGTCGCCGCCATCGCCGACTGAAATAATTGGTAGTTATTTAATCATTAATTAAACCCGTATTAGCATAAATATCAGGTGAAAGATAACAATTAGATAAAGTTGTCAATAAAAACCTTCGTTTTTCACTAGAAAAATTGTTGACACGAGATCTGAACTTTTTTCGCAACAGTTTCCACAAGGTTTAATCTTCGCCATAGTTGTCTAATTAATTACGGTCAAGTGCACCTATTAATTAACTCGATTAATTAATTAAATATGTAATTAAATAACAAATACTCTGCATATTTTTTTGGTAAGAGGAGAATGAACGAGCAGCTGAGAATCGATTTCTTGACGTGAGACCGTGCGTGAATGATGTCTCCAATTTTGTGAGAAAAACAAATTGCGCTTGCCAATTATATTTCCTTGATAAATGCAGTTTTCATTAGTTAAGGACGAATAAAATGGCATGAAGTCCACCTGCCTGTAAATCATGACACGCTTTATGCACGGTCCCCATGAGCTGAAATCGAACAGCAGGGATGACCGGATTGATACGGAAGATCGTCTTTATTAAGGCAATTTCCATGGAGGCCATTGGTTGGTCCGTTAATTCGATGGAAGAAAGCACCAATCGTTATGAAAAAACACTTCCGTTTAATTTGTATTCCTTTAGATTTGCATGATACTTTTTCATACGGTGATTCTGTTTTCATAGTGCTTCAGCTACTTTATGCGAAGACTTTGTCGGTCTGTCTGTCTGCCTGTAAGCAAGATAACACGGGAACGAATGGATATAACCGAAATCGGTTTTCAGCATCATACATATGACCTCAAGGGGAGGATCCTATCAACTTTAGGTTCGGACCACCCCATTTGGCGGCAGGGTGTGTGGCCGGGGCAAATGAGATTTTTACTGAAATTGAATCCGAAGATAAAATTAAATGCTGCCATGCTGTGGCTACTGTGGCACACCCCTCTCGTCGCCGAAGGGTGTGGTCACATATTTTTGGGGGTGAATTACTGGTTTCACACTATCACTACATTTCACTGCTAAGATTTATTTACTGTAATGAATACAATAGTCTCATTGTTTCAATAAATATTAAAGTACTTACATATCTAATTAATGTTTTGTAAATATATCGACAACAATAAAAATATCCTAACAGATAACTCCATTCTATACTTGTCAAATTATTTCCTGTACACCTGATCAGTGTGAAAGTTAAGACTACATTTTGCAGACGACGTTTTTTTAGTTCAAGAATTTCAAATGTTATCCAGTCTTAGGTACGCCTCAATTAAAAGCTATGTCTGCAAAGTTACACAGACCACGTGACCACAAAGTCACGCGGTTCGTATCCATATGGAGATTTGGTGTCACGTGGATCTTGATATTATGCCAAAGTCCACTAGCCACCTCGAAAGGTAACGTAAAATAATTGTTATTTTTTATTTATGATTTTAATGAGACAGTTCACACAGGCCTATAACGTTGTAAAATCCCTAAATATTGTGCAAACTTACAAATATTTCAGAGTATTAGCTCCTAAACTTTTGTCGATTTTCTCACATCAAGGCAAGGTGTCCTTTTATTTTGTAAAAATTCGTAAAATAATTTTGCTAAATCGACGAATTTAACTGTATTTAGGCGCTGTTCGTAAACTTCGTAACGCTGGCTAACCATGGGAAGATAGGGAAAAATCCCTATCTTCCTATGGTTAGCCAGCGTTACGAAGTTTACGAACAGCGCCTTACCAGTGAATGCATACATAAATTGATGGATTTGCGTCACTACATTTAACAGAATTTGTTTTAAGATCTGTAGAAACTTCAAGACAAATACATATTTATAATCTTTGTCATTAGATAAGTATTTATACGTATTGACATGGACAAAGACCTGGTGCAATTTGCATTGCAAAAAATGTAGAAAATTAAATTATTTTTTCATAAAATATTATTAGAAATTGTATATTTGCCTGTGGCTTCAAGTTGTTCTCTTCGGCAAATTAAAGCAGATCACGGGAGCATTTCACAAATTTGTAAAAAGATAATTAACTAACTTGCTTTATTGACCCTGCGCGAATAGGTGGCATGGATTCTAAGGTTCAGATTGATTGGGATGATTACGGAATTCAAGAAAATGTAAAGTTTCGTGAGGCATTTCTACAAAGCCGTAATAGAGATGACCTAGTGGATACAAGTATCGGAGCTATTCGTGATACGAGAGGGCAAATTAAGAAGCCGCCGATTCCAAAGACGACAACTGTAAAACCCCCACCTTTAAAGCCGGCTCCAAAACCCCCAACTGCAAAATCAGCTCCAAAACCGCCGACCGCAAAACCCGCTCCGAAACCAGCTCCGAAACCGCCGACCGCAAAACCCGCTCCGAAACCAGCTCCGAAACCGCCGACCGCAAAACCCGCTCCGAAACCAGCTCCAAAACCGCCGACCGCAAAACCCGCTCCGAAACCGCAGCCTGCGAAACCAGCTCCGAAACCGCAGGCTGCGAAACCCGCTCCAAAACCGCCGCCTGCGAAACCCGCTCCAAAACAGCCGCCCGCAAAACCAGCTCCGAAACCCGCTCCTAAACCGGCTCCAAAACTGCCGCCTCCAAAACCCGTCGAAAAACCATCCCCCACCACAAAACCTATACCAAACAATAAACCTGCCACAACTCCACCAAAATCTTTAAAACCACCCACCTTATCAACACCAACACCAACCACAACTCAAAAACCCGTAAAAACAACACCCTCACTTACCCCAACTTCCCCACAACCTACCCCAAATCCCGACTGGGATGAAACCAATTTAGATGAAACCAATTTAGATGAAACCACGACTTCTTCCCCCTGGGAAGAAAACACGCCACGCTCTCCATGGGATGAAATTACGACGCCCCCATCCTTACAACAAGGCACCACAAATTCCCCCCGATTTTTTAGCACCACCGCAAATTCATCCTTGGACATTGATGATGCAAAATCTGCATGGGAATCAAATGATGCCAACGATACGGATAATCCGTGGCGAAAGTGAATCATTATTCGTGCACAAGTTTAATTCATGCATCCCAGCGTAGATATTTATACTCTCCGATTTTGGGTAAAATTGAACCTTAGCAAGTTAACTAAATGTCACTAATTACTGAGCTTACAAGTATTTCGTAGCCCTAAATTTTATTTGGCTGGTGGTACATTTTTAGTTATTTTTTGTATGTATATCTTTATACTGGAGCATGAATAAGGATAATATGGAGTATGCAATTTATTGGTATTTAAATATACCAAACAAAATACATAAAAAAATTATAATTTCAATTACATAACTTTAGAAAAAACCGGTTTAAGGAAAAAATGTAGAAACATAAATTTGCATAAGTACATATGTATGTATATCCAAAGTGGGAAAGCCTTCTGCATAACAATGCAGATTTCTACACCGGCCTGGGTACACTTAAAGAAATTATATTACCACGCGGTAAACATATATGACTGGTAGATACTACTACATATTACTGCGCAGTAACAACCCAATTTTGGCACGACAATTACACCATGAAGGTATGAACCGATTAAGCCCAGAGATAAATCCGCAATACTACAAAGAATTTACTACCCATCGGTCGAAACCGCATGTCTCTACGACGCATTTGTAGAGGTTTGATGTTACATTTTCAAGCTAGATTTTTACATAGCGTTATAAAAATGTCTATGCAAATGTTGTTTCTTGACTGGAATTCAGATATGTGATGTAAAACTGGTGGTACAAAAGTGCTAGTTACAGCCTAGCTGTCCATAAATTTAGTCTTCATTCGAAAGTCAGTCATCCAGATTGATGACCTTCACATTCGGTTATTTTCGTTCAAATCCATTTCATTTCACTTCATCGGATTTCATTTCTTGCTTCGCCCATGTATTAAGTATAGGGTCAAAAATGAAAGCAGTGAAAAATCCTTTCATTCACAGTCATTCATTTGAAGTGGCTAAATCGTTCACTCATTTTCATTCAAATGATAAGAACTTCAATGAAAATAATTTGCGGAAAATCGCCTCCCACCAATAACCTCCACCCAATCGCCTCCAAGTATTGGCCTCCGACCATTAGCCTCCTGAGGATATTAGCCTCCCACAAAAATCGCCTCCCACCCAAAATCCTCCCATAATAAATGCATTCGTTTTCATTGGTTTTTTAATAGTTATGTAATTTATCAAAACCTTAACAGTGTCATCACCAATATTTAAAAAGTTATCATTGTACAATATTAGCACAAATACCCAGGAAAATTTATTGCGGCCCTTGCTAATGACTCCTGGTAGAATAATATGAATTGAAAGTGAAAACAAATCTTGTCTGTTAAGACCATATCGTCGCCGTTTTTAAATTTTAATACATCCCAAAGTCAATTAACAATTTGTAAAAGCTACTTTGTGCGCAATTAACCAACCCACCTTGTAGCAATTAAAATCGTAGTACGCCCCAAAGCAGTCTTGGTATATTATGGTTCCAACTGGTTTTCATCTTATATAGTATTTTATGGATCTATAGCGACGACACGGGGTGCCTGATTTTTGAAATCATCCTACAGACTTGAAATTTGATATATAGTTTATTAATGGTCCTAATGGAAGAAGATTAAGTGAAATTGACAAAAGTTTTATGTAAGCTGACCCTGTGGGGTGACCCATACCGCTTAAGATGAAACTCGGTACGATGATATGCAACGCCTTTTCATCAAAGAATATAAAACTAAAAGTGAGCAAAGTGTGACCAGAGTGACCCGTACCGGTTTTAAAAAGGTGCTATTTTATGCCACCAGGAGCAAAATGGCTGCACCAAATTTCCTTGGGTCCTTGTGCTAATATTATACAATGGTAAATTTTTAAATATTAGTGATGACACTGTTATGATTTAGGTAAATTATCCATTAAAAAACCAATACATGCATTTATTATGGGAGGTTTTTGGGTGGGAGGCGATTGGTCTGGGAGTAGATTGAGCAGGAGGAGATTGGGTGGGAAGCCATTGGTAAAGGAGGCTATTAGTGGGGAGCCATTACTTGGAGGCGATTGGGGGGGCTATTGGCGGGAGCCTATCATCCGTAAGCCAGTTTCATTTATTACCATAATCAGAAAAATGAATGAAAGCGAACAGATGTAAGTGATAATATCTAGGTATGTCCAATATTTAAAATTACTTTAATCAGTATTGTCCAATGGTTCGCTGCTGGTCCAGAATAACTGGTTTAAGAGAAAAATGCATCAACATAAATTTGCATAACTGCCCAAATTGGGGAAACCTCCTGCACATGTAACAATGCACATTTTCACCATTATGGTAGAGTCAACTATTTACTTTCTGGTTATAATGGTAACAGCACGTTTCAGAGTGATTTAATGTGCATGAAACAAAGTTGCAAGAAAAAAATTAGACGTATGTATGCACCTGTGTCTGAGGGCATTATAAAAATTCTTAGGATACATATACATATATATAATATGTAAATATGCATATTTAACCCGTCCAGACAGGCTTCATTTATCCAGAAAGTTGTCCCATTTTGAGTGGAGGTGCATTTTTAGTTGTAAAAAAATACATTTTTCTCTTAAACCGGCTACAACCTGATCTTTCGAAAGGTTAAGGTGTGTATATATTTAGGACCGCCCATGAATTATGTCACGAGAGAGGCGGGGAGGTCAAGGCTCCAAGGCTATCGGGCGTACATGACACGATGTCATTATGTTAAAGTCAGAGGGGGTTAGGGTACAGAAATTCGGGTATTTTTGCGTGACATAATTTATACATGTCCCCACACCTATAAGGGTCGGTCCACGTCAATACCCACGATCGGGTGAGAGTCATGAGAGCGGAGATGTTGTCTCTCCATTCCGAGCGACACTACTGATGGTGGTGCTCACCAGCAGTGGGCGTAGCGCGTACTAACGTTTTAAATGTCGACGTGGTCAGGGCTACATTTTTTTAGTCACATGTTTTTTAGCTCAGCGTTAAAAATAATCTTGACTGGTATGGCATTCGAATTTTGTCACTTAAAGTTTTGTTTACGCCTCTTGTTTTCTGATAATTTTTGGGAATATTCCCATACATATGCTTGCATGTGTTAATGTGTGTCAGAAAAATCGATATAATTTTTTGCACCCTGTCGTGTGCGACCTAATTTTTTTTATGGTGGATTAGAAATTTAAAATTACGTTATAATTTATGAAATTTGGGTTGCACACGACAGGGTGCAAAAAGTTATAGCGTTTTGAAGTTACCATTACAAGATGGCTAGAATTCAAATTTTTCAAATTTTTTAAATTTTAGAATTTAGTTTATAGTGCCTACAACAACTTTTAGGTTTAGGTAAACCTTCCCAAAATTACGTGACACCCAGTGCATCAAATGCAAAATTTTTCTTATATTTTTTACAAATTTAAATTCTCGGCCAATTTCTAACATAGAATTTTTATTTTTTCACTAGTAACTTTATTTAAGTCGTACGTATTTATGGTAAAATTAGCCCTAAAATCTGAGACGTGGCCCGCAACACATGATTGACATTGACGTGGACCGACCCATAAATAAAAAGATATCGTTCAAAAAAGAGTGGTAACAGTCTTAATATTCCCTTTGACAAATAAACTCCCTTGCTTTGTGCAGTTTAAAATTCAATAAGATACGTATTTATAAATTTTTCAACCTTGACCTTGAACCCATATCATGATTTCTAACATTGTCCTTGGCATGTTAACCTGCCTAACAAATTGGTCGGGCCGACTGCAACTGTACTTGCTGAATAATTTCTTTCGTACGAGATGTAAAGAATTTTGGACGGAGTATTTGAACAAGGTGGACATCCAAGTTAATGGCGATAGACCTTGGGATATACAGGTAAATACATATGTAAATAATTTGCAGATTTATGTATGTACCTGGGTATTCAAATTACGAAATTTGCTCAAAGTATGACAACAGAACAGGGCTTTCTTTTTTAAATTTGCCGCCTATCTAGATATGTTAGGCAGGTAGTAGACAACACACTCTTAACCAATGGCCGCGGAAGCATGGGGACAAAGTCCCCATTATCAGCTCATGCTATAAAAAACCTTCCCTCCCCCTGTTCTGCAATGTTAATGTCCTCACAGTATCCGCGGCTATTGATATCCATAATTTTGTGATATGATTTTTACCGGCGGAGGTTTGCACATATGTATGTAGGCAGTGCTACCGCGTGGTAAGACCATAATTGGCCTAAGGGTAAGAAAGGTGTCGGTAATTCGAGTGTTGACAGTAAGCCCCATGTAACCCTTCAGGGATAAATTTTTACCGGAGCGGTATAGGTAGTACCTCCGCCGGTAAAAATCATAAAGTTATTGAGAGTGCATATACCCTTTCTCAAATTCTCCAGCTTTTACCAATCGAAACCCTGGCTTTAACGTGACTGGTAAAAGTTTAAAAATAATTACAGATTCATCACGAAGACGTTTACACTCGTGCCCTGGATGGTCTCGGGATGGGAGAAACTTACATGGAAGGACTGTGGGACTGTGCCGATTTGGCTGGCCTATTTACTCGGGCATTGTCCGGGAAACAGTCGGATATTTTGAAACTTTGTCAAAACCCGATCCTCCGATTTAAAAACTTTGTAGAATGTTCCCTGCTAAATTTGCAAACGAAAGAAAGGGCCAAGGATAATGTAAAAGCACACTACGATCTTGGTAATAATGATTTCACTAACAAGGGAACTCTCTCAGTATACGCTGTTCGATTTTGGCCAAAGTTTTGTCATCAATTACAAAATCTAATTAATGTGAAATTTGAAACAGACATTATTTCTCAATGGTTTCGTTTAGTATAGATTTTTGCGTCCGAAGAGGAGACAACGCACCTTAAAGTCTACAAATTGTTCATTTTCCCGAGTTGACTCTGTATTTTCTCCTCTTCGGATGCAAACATCTCTGCTGAACCAGAGAATTGGCAAATAATGCCTTTCGAAAATTTCATATTAACTATATATTTATGATCGATTGACAAAACTTTGACAAAATCGGAGAGCATACGCTGAAAATCTCCCCTGGTGCGTGTTACTAAAGCAGATAAGAAAATATATACAAATAATTCAAATATTCCCAGGTAACGACCTCTTCGAAGCCATGCTAGATTCCAGCATGACTTATTCCTGCGCCTACTGGAAAACAGCTGATAACTTAGAAGACGCCCAATTCGACAAGATGGAGCTTATCGCGAAAAAGCTCAACCTTCTCCCCGGTACGACCGTCCTGGAAATCGGGTGCGGCTGGGGTGGGCTGGCCCGGCATTTGGCCAAACACTATGGCGTTTCAGTCACTGGAATCACGGTATCAAAGGAACAAGCCCTTTACGCAGAGAAACTTTGCACCGATCTCCCGGTCAAAATTGAGCTTCTCGACTATCGCGACGTGGTCGGAACGTTTGACCGGATCGTGTCCATTGCTTGCTTGGAACATATCGGATCTAGGAATTACGATACATTTTTCGATAAAGGTAAGTTTGGTCACATTCCGAAAACCCGACCAGACAAATTTTGGAACCTGGCCCGAACCTAATTTAGTGACATGCGAGTTGGGTTTAACCGGGTCGGATAGTAACCCAACTCACCTCTTATAGGTGGTTCTGGTCAAATGTTCCAAAAATTCTATCTACCCGACCCTGCTAATTTCTTAAAGCTACCCGCTGCACCCGTCTAGCCCCATAGGGTTACAGGCGGGTAGAGTTTACCCGATTCTTGACCCTTGACCCTACTCACCTTTATTTTTCCCCACAGTGCACAAATGCTTGAAAGATGATGGTCTATTTCTCCTCCATTCTGGGGGAATTAATCACCACGGGCTACCTCGGGCTGGACCTTGGATAAGCAAGTACATCTTCCCCGGAGGTCAGATGCCGTATTACAAGGAAATTACGAATGTTATCGAGAAACGGTTTATCATCGAAGACTGGCAAAATATCGGGTTTGATTATTCAAAAACTTTGGCCGCTTGGTATGCCAATTTTAGCAAAAATTGGGACAAACTTAGACCAAAATATGGCGACAAATTTGAAAGGATGTGGACCTATTATTTGCAAATGTGCAACGGACTATTTCAAGCCAGACTGATTCAGGTGTGGCAAATTGTCTTGAGCAAGAATGGCGTCAAAGGGGGATACTACGGGGGACGATGATGTTTCATATGATGTGAGCAAAAACAGGGGATTTTAATTCAAATTTGAGCATGATTGGTAATGATCTATATACATATTTGCAAAATGTATAAATAAAGGTATTAATATAATCATTTGCTGAAATATCATATCAAATACAGTTTTTATTCCAACCTAACCGCAATTTTCACAATACAAACCTATTGACAAGCACCACGTGGTAAATATAGTTGGATATTTTAGGATATGTATGTATCTGTTTAACAAAGTGGTGTTGAAGAATTTATCTCGCATTTCCCCTTCTTGAAAAGTTTGCAAGAAATCTTGGCTAATTCCACATTTGTGATGTATCAAAAATCAAAATTCCATAATAATGTATGTAAAAAGCTCCTTTGTTCTGATGGATTGGGAGCATGTATTCGTCCTACCTATTAGTGACCCAACTTGGTAACCAAAAATTACCTGGACCAGACCGGATTACCATATCACGATCGTAGGTACGTAAGTAGACATTTGATTGCTTTTATTTTATGTCAAGTATAAAAGTCAACGCATCAGAAAAGCATTTCCATTTATGTGTCATGAAATAATAAAAAGTACAGTTTGAATTTATTTGCAAATTGCCAATGTTATTTTTCTATCTCACAAAAGAAAGAGATGATTAAGCGCAGTCTTAAAAATAAATATAGTTCCCTTTCTGAAACGTAAATGTAAATATGTGTAGTTAACTTCTATATCAAGCAAACAATGCTCAATCCAAAACAAACTTAACTCTTTATCAAATTATATTTTGTGCATTAAAATTGGACCCTTTTCTGATGAATTTCTTAAGAAGAAAAGTGTTTAAGGGTCGTCCATAAATTGCGCAGCACTATTTAGAGGGTCTAAGAGTCTAACGATATCTTGTCTATTTTACCCATATTAAATCCTTTAATTTAAAGTGGGGGTCTGGAAAATCACGATTTTTACGTTACATAATTTATGGGGGGCCTGCAATTAAAATACAAACGGGAACAATACTCTGGATTTATTATGTAGCATAGTTACTTAACCCTTAGCCGAGGAGAAACGGTAACTATGTTTGGCGTTGCTGCGGGCGTTTCGATGACCACAATTGTGATCATTCGGGAAGCCAAAAAATAATTAAAATCTGACAAGTTCTAAATCTGGAGACTTTTATTATATGAGTTGCCTAGATTCGGGACGATTTTATAAATGCTCAATTCGGGAGAACGGCAAAACACGTTAGGAGAAAATTAACTGCGGGGCAACTTCAATAAACATCATATTTAAAATTATGAGTATCAAAATTTAAGTGTAACATTGTAAAGCAAAGTTGCATGATAATTTTAGAGTTATGAACTATGACTATGGTACAAAATTATGACTATGCAAAACTACTCAAGACATTTGTAAAATAGAGCTATTGGTTAAAAACCACACATGTTTGTGGAGCTATATTAGGGTTTTTTTTTAACTTGGATCAGGAGTTCTGACTAACTAAATATATGCATTCATTTGGTATATTTTAATTTTTAAATGCAGCCAAGACCTCAACCTAGACGAGGAGATCAATTTGATAATTTATGAGTTTGGCAGAAGGTGTATATAACCCTTTATTTATTGGTGACGCTGGTTTTACCTCATATTTTGTATTTTAAATAATCCCCTGTACCTTTATAAATTGGCTGAGATAGTTGGTGTACTAACCAAAATATTTGTCGAGCTTCTGGGAAAACCCTAAACTAATTTCTCCCACTAGTTTTTCATCAACGTTGAAATTTATCAAAAATGAACATGTCCTGGCAAAACCAAGATTACACGAGACGGGTGTGGTTTGGCCTCAATAACTTTCCGTTATAAATTTCTTGAATAGTTTTAGCAGTTAGTAAACCAGAGTCAAAAATTTTACATGCAACCCATGCTATGCAAAGCAGGGGCGAAGTTATATGAAAGTGACCTAGTGTTACCACGGATGATTCTGAACCAAGCCCCTAATAATTTTAGTTTTTAGTGCCAACGTGTTTTGCCGTTTCCCGAATCAGCTAAATAATGTTTACCACGGAAATATCCGTTGTCCCGCACCTGACATGGAAACGTGAAAACGTGAAAAGCCGTTGACCCTGAAGGCAGAGAATTTTTTTGTGAACGGTTTTTCACGGTCTCCCGAATTAAAGCAAAAACTCTAAAACGTTTTTAAACGGTCTCCCATGGCTAAGGGTTAATACAGAATTGAGGCTCAATTTATTTACTTCTGACGAACTTAATAACTTTATTAATAATTAATAACTTTATTTTTAAGAGTGGGGTGACCCAATGGTTTAATTACTCTATTTTTTCGTGCACCCATTTTATGAGCATACGGTACTTTTATATTTGCAAAAACTATTTATTTATTTATGGATGGCCAAACAGGTTTACAACTTTACACGAAAACACGGAAGATGAGCGTTCAGTACATAGGAAAACCGGTCCTGCGAGTGTTTAAAACCTCTGAAAAAAGTGCGTCACGTACATAAATATGTACATGCAGATCGTGTTCCTCGAATATATGCGTTGAAATGTGACTCGTAAAATTTACCTATTTATGAATTATCTGAAATGCACAATGTATGTATTTGTGTCCTGTTTTCGGTGGCCGTAAATCCGTTTACCGTTGCCGTTATTGTTCCGACGGTCATATAATTTTACACAGTCAGTAAGTGTACGCCTTTCGAAGCGTGACAATGGAACCTTAACTTGCAAAATATTCAAACCGTGATAAAATAAGTTTGCACATTTAAGGATATTGGATAAAATGGAGGCCAGATTCATGGTAAGTTTAGCAGCGAAAACAAAGCATGCAAGGAATTAGTGCATTAATTTTTGCAGTCGTAATTTCTGTGAACGAAATTTAAAAAAATAAGCGCCACCTAACGGACAATGCAAATAATTAAATATATGCAGTACAAAGAGTGGTGGCTCCCATTAGTCAAATTTCTTGCATTTTTATCCAATTCTTGGATATATTTCAAATCATTTTTTGCTCCTTTTTAGCCCGAGTCAAGGCCATTGGTAACAACCTGACTCGGGCTAAATAATGTTGCTTTTCTTCCAGTGGATTTAAAAAAATCAAAAATTTATGTTGAATCAATCTCATAATTATTTGTTGTAGTTGATTTAAGCTGTTTAATTTCAGTCAATGCGACTCGTCATTGTCTTCCTCGGGGTGTTCCACCTTTTCCCCGCAATATACCCCAAGACGACGACGACCCCCACCAAGATTAACGGAAACGACATATTTACCAAGTTATGGACAAGTTTGGATCTAACAAAATACTCGTCCCAACTGCAAAACAGGAATGGAACTTTGCCCCAATTGAAGATGCCGGATGCAGAGTTTTTCATAAAATATGGAAATTCGCGTAAAAAATTGTAATCTTTAATGTACGATAGGTTAAGTATGTACGAACGTATTTACGGCTGGCATTATTGATCATGTGTTCATTACATTTTATACACTCCTACATAATGTTACCTTTCTGAGCAGTAGCGGCATTCTGAAAAAAATCTGAAAGGTTTCCTGGCAGATAATTTGAAACCAAATTACCTCTCAGAAAAATTTCCAAGACTGGTTGAACAGTAGTGCATTTACCTTTCCAAAGGGCAATATAATTTTTAGGAGTGGACGCCCATAAATTTTCAGAGAATGGGATCGTCCATAAATTATGCTACGCCAAACTGCCGACTTTTCAAATCTTTTTACCCCATTCGCGTTTCACGGTGCAACGCGAAAAAATGGGTTGAAAAAACCATGTAGAAAAAACCCATTTTTTCTCCATGTCCCAAGAAGGTGTCACGCGAAGCCCCGTCAAGGCATAATTTCTGGACTTCCCTTACATAAGTCAAACACTATACATGATTCCTGCCTAAATTTATTCCAATATTTACAGTTGCGCGGACAGGCGTCGGGCGCGAGGGGAGATATTACCTGCGCCGTGCAGAGTTCCGACGGGATCCGCGACACGACCAAATGGAGAAGTTCCTACTCACGTATTTCATCTCGAATGAGTATACTCACCTGATGGGGAATCCTATGCGGGGCGATATGTTCGAGATTATCAGCCTTGCCGGTAGCATTGTCGACTTCTGGGGTGGGATTCCCGAAGACAGGTGCGCCGGATGATATGAAAATTTAGGACTCTATTTGATTAATACATACATACATATGTATCACATTTTTGAGATAGTGAAGATAGATATATACAATGAGATAGTGTTTATTCGCGCTAGAACGATTTTGAATTTTGATACGGTAAAATGTCCGTAATTTTGTGTGCATAAGGAATCTATAATAAGATTGGGGGAGGGGTGCACTGGTAGTTTTTGCGCCACTGTGTAAAATGTGCGAATTTTTCGATATTTTTTATAATAAAATGTACACAGTACTTCTGGAAAGAATTGAACAGAACGACTTTGTAAAATATTAAACGCAGTATGAAAAGTTATTAAAGCTCACATTAACTTCAATGACGATCTTCCCCCTCTATTTTTAAATACAGAAAAACCTATTTAAAAATGAACTCTTCTGGCCCTATTTTTTGGTAACAGCATGCATAAACAATGGACCGATTACACTCTTTTCCTTTGTCCATCTTTTCAAGCGGCTGGGTAAAGATAAATACATAAATTTATTAAAATTAGCGACACAATTTATTTTGAGCTAATTGCATTGTAACAAAGGTGCATGAAATGTTTCCTGCACAATTTGTTTACATAATTTCGCGAAGTATTTATATAATTTGGAACAATTATCTAGTAATTATTTGGGTTATATGGTTATATCCATGAGCGTTACTGAATTTATATTCTATTACCCTATCCGTGCCTAGACCGGTTTCCCACAAAGACCCTGTCAAGTACATACATAGTCTTGGCATTTGGATTATGGTATGTACCCAAGCAATTACTGTAATCGCTGAACTTACTTTAATTACAGCCATTGTGTCGCTTGAAGTTGATGTTTATTTACGGATATCTTGCATTTCTACGGAATGAAATGAATCGATTTGACAATAATTCAAATCCCCCAGCGTATACTCTCTGATTTTTATTATTTTACACCTCCGAGCAAGTTATGCATACCATTGAATGCGAATCACCAACAAACGTACCCATTAACAGTCTGTATCTTTTGCAAATTGCATAAATATTAAGTAAATAAATTGACATAGATACTTGGTGAATCGAGTTCTCCGCTGGGAAGCCTACCTTGTGAGCTGTGTGCACAATAGATAAATGTATATATGTATCTACATAAATATGATATCGTTTAAATCAAGAGAAAACACGCATTTTCACTGACAAGATAATTAACTGCTAATAGGTCCGGAAATTGGGTAATATGTTTATATTTATACAGGTGTAGACATATTTATCTCATAAACACACCTATTAACGAGCAACCTTAGTTGAATACGACCAAGGGTAAGTCTAGCGACGATACTGGTAAAATTGCAACTGAAAACTGGTTTGGTAACTGGAGACATGAAAGAGAAAATCCTTGTGCCATACTTTGAGGCATTTCTGTAATATTGCAATATTCGCAAGTTCTCTAACCTTACAAAATTTTACAAATATCTAGAAAGAAAATATCTCGCTTGCAAATTTTTGCATACTTTGTCAGACCAAAGGCGTCTCTTTATTTAAGGAAAGTTGGTAAATTGATTTTACAAAACGCATGAATCCTACAAAATTTTCTACTGACTACTAGGGTTGCCGCGGGTAACGGGTCGGGTACCCGTTACCCGCATACCCGCACGATTCTTGCGGGTACCCGTTACCCGCATACCCGCACGATTCTTGCGGGTACCCGTTTTCTGCGGGTAGCGAGAACTACCCGCACGGGTAACGGGTAGTTCTGTTTTTATTTAATTCTCGACATATATCAGTTCACAAAGAAAGCTAGCAGCAAGTTAGTCCATTTACCAACAAAAGCGTCAATTTATTATTTATCTATTTCAAAATTTGCTATTTTCCAGCAACTAGGGTTTATAGCGTGCGTGTCTTTTCGGAAGCCTATGGCAGCCTGATATGCTTTTCACGTCCCTAAAATGAAATTATTGTTTCTCAAGTAAAATTTGCCTGCTCTAAAATCTGAGTAACAATTTGACTTGTATTTATTTATGTATTTATTTGTATTTATTTTGTATTTATTTATTTGTGTAAGACTGACGAGATTTTAATTTGTTCGTTGAAGATGAAAAACCTGAATCCGATTGAAGGCTAAAATTTTATTTGTAGATATTTTTAAAATGAAAACTTAAATTTAAATCAAAATTTCAAAAAAAATCAAACTAAAAGTTGAACCTTTCTTCAAGCTACACCAAGATTATCTAGAGAGTATATTAAAAAGTCAAGCCAAAAATTAGGAATCACATGATACTTTCCGTTGAATGTCCACTTTAAAGAAAAATATTGGAGGCAAAGTTCGATTTTTAAGTAAATGTTCAGCATCTTATTCCTCCACTGGACGAAAATCATGGTGGACTTTGAACTCTGATCCAAATAGTTTCCTATGGGCTATTCAAGGGAAAGATTAGTGATAATTCCTAATTTTTAACTTGATTTTTTGATATCATTCGTTAAGAAATCCCGATGTAGTTTGAAAAACGTTCCATTGCAAGTCAAAAAGTTTGGTTTCAGAACAACTGCGGATATTCCCATAGCAATTTACGGCATTCGTTACTTGCGTAGCATTATCTGAAATTACATATCAACCCAAATGAGCCAATTAATTAAATGAAATTTATTCTTAAGGCTGGTTAGGTTTTAAGTCAATTTTCATTACGGGTAGCGGGTAACTGGTACCCGCACGGGTACCCGTGCGGGTACGGGTAGTTGTGCTGCGGGTAGCGGGTCGGGTAACGGGTAGCATTTTCGCTACCCGTGGCAACCCTACTGACTACACGAATTAATTCGTTATAAAAATTTACTGAGATTTGTAAGGGTTAAGTTAATCATTAAAAAAACCATATCCAAGTTAAATAAATTATCATGTGGACGACTTCATTTCAACCGTTTTTGATCCATCATTTACGCGTTTGCATCTTCCTAAAGTGCACTTTGTGTCGATGGGATTCCTCCTCGGGAGAAATTGTTGCCCAAAGTTCGACCTCGTTGAGAATTTTATACCAAAAAAGTCAGCTAATCTCCGGGCTTATCTACGTTTTTGGGATCTCATTAAAAATTACACGAGGCAATAACTCAATAGCGGAGAAATGTCAAGGTGTCGTTTTCCTGTTGTGTATGATCGTCTGCCTTATGGCGAGATGGCATTGGCCGCGGAAGGGACAAATCAGTGAACCGTGTCAAATGTTGAATGCGTGTTTTAAGTTTGAGAAAGTTCTCATCGCCGGATATGGTAAGGGGATAAATAATTTAATTCTTAAACCTAATATGTACTCAGGAAGGATTTTTCATGTGAAAAGAAAAAAATCTCCTGTTGCATGTTATTTGAAGAACTATAATTCGGTACACTTTGTAGTGAAATATGAGTAATTTCTGTGAAGGAATAATTCAATACAAAGCAAAGAACTTACAGATTAACGTGAAAGACCCGTCCTGAATACAAACCTTTACGTTGTTCCAAACTTGTATATTCGACAGTAAATTACTTGCGCTATGTATTCAGCACTGGTTTTCACGACAAGGTGATTGAGGTCTGCTAAATTTATCGCTTGAACCAATTTCGTGAGCTAGCAGAAAACACCAATTTTGTTGTCCTTTCGTATGAAAAGTGGGCCTGAATCCTAGGCTTTATGAATTTCGCTACAGGGAAAGTTTTTAACAGAATTTAACCAAGTTGTCATGAAAATTCGTCACTAGTTTCTTCTTAATCAATATCAATTTAGGCAGCCCACCTCGTCCTCCGTCCATGCTGGACAAAGTTATGGTAGCATTTCTCCAGCTTTTGGAAACAACAGCTGTTCTCGTTCCCATAGTAGTGATAGCGATTCGTCTCCATAATCCATGCGCGCTCCCATTTCTCGGGTCGCTGTCTCCATTTTGCTCTAATTCCGTCTGGACTCCGCCACCACGCCCGGTCCATGTGCTCCTGCTACTAACTGACTTCTGGTTTTGGCTACATTTGGTGTACGATGGAACGATCTACGTGTTCTACGCTTTCATGACCTCCATCGTGGTCATGTTGGATTATTTGGAGCACTTTCAAAAGTAAGTTTCTTAATACAACTATTTTTGAAACAAAAGTTTCCCAACATTTATGCAATAGGTAAAAATCATTTTGGAAAGTTTCAAATCAGAAAATTTCACTAAAGCGTAAATTTTCCCCTGAATTGAGCATGTTTTTATTTCGCAAGATTATTTTGCAAACTTATCCACTCTTAATTCTGTTGAAACTTCAAACAATCCATGAAAATCAAATTAAATTAGGACAATAAATGTTTGTGAAGATTACATAATTTCCGAAATAATATTTTGCGAATTCTTTCGCGATACAAATGATTTGATGCGAAGAAAGCCGTTGAGAGATAAGATCGTAAATTCACTTAGTATTTATCTTTTTGCACAGATTAGTGCGGGATATTCGAACTGATTCCACAACCGGAAATGATCTTCAACGCACTTTGGAACGTCGGGTCACCCAAGCTCTCCACACGTACCGATGTATCCGACTCATCGAAAAAATTCTAAATCATTCCATGAAAGGCCAACTCATCCCCGCCATGATCGGAGTTGTCCCACAAGTCCAAGTCTTCACACAATTCGTGTGTATCAAACTCTATTCGAAAATCCCGCTCCCAGGCTTCATAATTTTTCCCCTGCTTCTAATCGATGCCGCCATTACGAACCTCGTGATTGAAACCATCGCAGCCAAAGTAAACACAAACTCGGTGAAAATGTTGTCTGAATTAAATAACGAATTAAAAAGTTTCTCAGCTAAGTCGAAGTATCGGAAGGAATTGAGAGCCTGTACCGCAACGAGGATACAATTTGGACAAAACTTTGTCGATAAAGGGACTCCTTTAGTCATCGAGAATTTCTGTATTAACCAAACCGTGTCAGTGCTTTTGCTTAATGCTCGGAATCAAAGGGGCAAGTAGACTAATAAATATGAGAAGTTCAATTCGAAGGGAATACACAATTGTTTTAATATTTCATAATAACGTTGCATTCATTGGTTTCATGTTTCTACTCATTTTTAATGTACATATTTATACGTATGAATAATAAATATTTATGTATTACAATTATTTGCATTACTTATTTGCCTACTGCAAAAATGCACCATAACCTTACCAATCTAATTTAATCTAATTTATAAGCCAACATGCTAAAGAACTCTGTTTTTCTTGTTTAAATTTTAAACTGTTGAATAAACCCTAAATTGAAAAATTGTCCCAAAATGACCAATAATTTTCTTACTAACTACTATAATTATTTGTACCAGCTTTTAAGCAAAAACGGCTTCCTTAGGAAACGTCACTAACATCGTAGTTAATGTGTCAACTACAAAATATAGGATTTTTAAGACTACAATTCTTTTAATAACTTTGACGGAACCGACTTGAACGCCAAACGGCTTCAAGGCCTTCATTTCTCTCACAGTAATTTTACTTCGACTCGTGCCACGCCCTTTGATTGAATTAAATAGCGTTTTCGAAGCCTCCCCCACCGAGGAGGTGGTCAGAATCGCAAGCAACAAGATAATCACACAGTTCTGTAAGCAAGTAGGGAACGGGGCGTATTCGAAAATGCTGACGTTTCCATGACACCGAATCGTAGCAAATGCTGCAACCAGAATATATCCGGCAGGTCCCAAAAGCAGATGAAAGAGAGCATTTCCTTGGTAATGGAATGGTTGAAAGAGGTTGCAAGCACGTGGAGGGTGCGATAATCCTGAATTTTACGGCAGATCGATGACTTCGAGTTTCTAAGGAGAAATTAAAGTATTTAGACTTGAAGTAATTTGAATAATACTACAGAGACTGGGAATTATGGATTATGCGTTAAATTTATCACCAGTGAAAATGAAAAGAAAAACACATGGTGGTTTTCATGCCCCCCGATTTCGACCAAATTAGTACAGATAGATCACAAATTTAAATAATGTGAAATTTTTAAAAGACATCATCCCCCAAAGTCCAAGTTTGGCGGAGATACATACATATTTTCATCCAAAGCGAATATCTAGAATATTGTAAATTTGTGAATTTCAAAGACCGGTTTCTCTTTTTTGGGTACAATTACCTACACCAAAACTTTAGCCAGTAATATGTATCTATCGTGAATTTGGGATTACTTAGGTTTTAAATAGATCGATTAACCCTAGTTGTTCGAAAGCAGGGCACACATTAGGCCTCGATTGCAACCGTTTACGAGAGAATTAAGTATAAAACCCCGTAATTCGCAATCTCCTCAATAGCATTTCCTCAGCAGAGTTTGGCACTAACCTTACTGCACGCATGCAACGAACGGCGACGTAGATAGTAACCAAAAGATGGAATCCGTCCATCGCGTCCACCATCCCGGCTGAAGTCTTTGAATACAATTCGAGCAGTGCAAATCCACCCAAAACTAAGCGACTTTTTTGCACAGCTTCTTTGAAGAGGGATGAAATGTATTGTGGTTTGAGTGGGACGACGAGAAACATGGTTAAAACCGCACCAGAAAGAGTTGCCAAGATCCACAAAACTGACATTATTTGTAGTTGAAGGATATTATAATTTAGAAATTTTGGTTTCGCGATAAAGCCAGTAGGGTATCGAGCTGCAATTTAGGTAAAGTATTTAAGATGGAATAACTCCGTCATATAGTTTTTTTAATCTCACCCTCTGCCAAACTTCAAAAATTTCAATTTTATTTTAAGAATCAGGAATATTTTAAGAAACTAGGTTCAAAAAAATTAAAATGTAATACAATTGGGTAATTCGTATTCAAAAATTTTTAACGAATCAACATTTTTTAAATCGATGCTTGTGTAGTGCAAAAGGTTGAACCTTACATTAAAATAGTTATGAATGAAGAGCTCTTATAGATATCTCAAAGTTTATAACATTCATAACACTTCAGAAATTTATTGATTGGGAGTGAATGAGACTTAAAATCTATTCTGCATCAAATAGTCGTCCTCTGTAACCTTAATGGCATAATGCCTAAATGTGACTGTCTCCATGTTTACTTTTCTCATTTTGTACAAGCGGCAAAATACCAAAACAGAACACTTTCAGCGAAACCCATTTCGTCAAAAAGCTGAATTGGCAAAATTAATATTAAAGTTAAGCATTAGTTCACGCGGCGAACCCAACTGGCTTTTTTTATTTGGAGTGAGCCAGAAAGGGTTCGCGGAAAGTGCATAAGGAAAAACGCATCGATAGAGGGTTCATTTTTCCCCTTTAATCGGTAGTATTCATGCAGCGCGTGGTAGCTGCTGCCCGGCCAAGCAGTGCGTGCTTCGCCCCACGACGGTGGTGCACCACCCTACCTCACCGCCACCAATCCCCACATATCCTGGCATCAAAAACGACGTTGAAGTCACATAGATGGCGTCTGCACCCCTATTTCTGCACCAGACCCACCATCGTAGAACCTAAAATTTGGGGAGACGCGACTCAGAAATAGGGGTGCAGACGCCACCTATGTGTCTTCAATGTCAATTTTGATGCGGTGGTGGCGGTGAGAGTTGCAGCCACCACGTTTGATAGCGAATTGATCGTTTGATCTCGAATTTTACGGCGAATAGGAGCCTTTGAGTTTCTGTGGACAAATTAAAGTAAAATAACAATGAGGAGATTGCGGATTTACGTTTCCACATTAATTTTATCGTGAATGTGCAATTGAGAAACTTGTTATTGAGAATTTAATAGACAGGTAGGAAATGTAGGTTTTTAAATATATCGCAAATTCCCTATTAATTTTCACCAATGTTTGATCAAAACTTTGTAGCCGATTATGAATTAAATCTCGAATGACTTCGCGAAATATTTTGCTTATTGTGTCCAGAAATCTTGACCATACTAAAGAAATTGTTACGGAAATTATAAGAATGTGTGTTTTCTAAATCCCTAGTGTAACCCCGTTAACATATTACTCGATAGAATTGTCAAATCTTGCAAATATTCATTAATTGGTAACACAAACTGTCAATATCTGGGATTTCGATTCTTAAAAAATTAAAAACCCCTGCTATACAAATTAGCGGTCCAAAATTTACAAAAAACTCCCATAGCGGAGTAATGATTAAAAATGACATGCTGATTTTGAAAAGTTTTGAAATAAATCTTCGAGTATTGCGTTAATTCGCAATCTCCGAAATGCTATTTCTCAACCTGACTCGAACTTAACCTGAGTGCATTCATGCAGCGAGTGGCGACGTATATGGTGACTAAGATATGGAACCCGTCCATCGAATCCACCATTGCGGCGGAAGTCTTCGAATACAATTCCAACAGGGCAAATCCACCCAAAACGAAACGACTTTCTTGCACAGCTTCTTTGAAGAGGGATGAAATGTATTGTGGTTTGAGTGGGACGACGAGAAACATGGTTAAAACCGCACCAGAAAGAGTTGCCAAGATCCACAAAACTGACATTATTTGTAGTTGAAGGATATTATAATTTAGAAATTTTGGTTTCGCGATAAAGCCAGTAGGGTATCGAGCTGCAATTTAGGTAAAGTATTTAAGATGGAATAACTCCGTCATATAGTTTTTTTAATCTCACCCTCTGCCAAACTTCAAAAATTTCAATTTTATTTTAAGAATCAGGAATATTTTAAGAAACTAGGTTCAAAAAAATTAAAATGTAATACAATTGGGTAATTCGTATTCAAAAATTTTTAACGAATCAACATTTTTTAAATCGATGCTTGTGTAGTGCAAAAGGTTGAACCTTACATTAAAATAGTTATGAATGAAGAGCTCTTATAGATATCTCAAAGTTTATAACATTCATAACACTTCAGAAATTTATTGATTGGGAGTGAATGAGACTTAAAATCTATTCTGCATCAAATAGTCGTCCTCTGTAACCTTAATGGCATAATGCCTAAATGTGACTGTCTCCATGTTTACTTTTCTCATTTTGTACAAGCGGCAAAATACCAAAACAGAACACTTTCAGCGAAACCCATTTCGTCAAAAAGCTGAATTGGCAAAATTAATATTAAAGTTAAGCATTAGTTCACGCGGCGAACCCAACTGGCTTTTTTTATTTGGAGTGAGCCAGAAAGGGTTCGCGGAAAGTGCATAAGGAAAAACGCATCGATAGAGGGTTCATTTTTCCCCTTTAATCGGTAGTATTCATGCAGCGCGTGGTAGCTGCTGCCCGGCCAAGCAGTGCGTGCTTCGCCCCACGACGGTGGTGCACCACCCTACCTCACCGCCACCAATCCCCACATATCCTGGCATCAAAAACGACGTTGAAGTCACATAGATGGCGTCTGCACCCCTATTTCTGCACCAGACCCACCATCGTAGAACCTAAAATTTGGGGAGACGCGACTCAGAAATAGGGGTGCAGACGCCACCTATGTGTCTTCAATGTCAATTTTGATGCGGTGGTGGCGGTGAGAGTTGCAGCCACCACGTTTGATAGCGAATTGATCGTTTGATCTCGAATTTTACGGCGAATAGGAGCCTTTGAGTTTCTGTGGACAAATTAAAGTAAAATAACAATGAGGAGATTGCGGATTTACGTTTCCACATTAATTTTATCGTGAATGTGCAATTGAGAAACTTGTTATTGAGAATTTAATAGACAGGTAGGAAATGTAGGTTTTTAAATATATCGCAAATTCCCTATTAATTTTCACCAATGTTTGATCAAAACTTTGTAGCCGATTATGAATTAAATCTCGAATGACTTCGCGAAATATTTTGCTTATTGTGTCCAGAAATCTTGACCATACTAAAGAAATTGTTACGGAAATTATAAGAATGTGTGTTTTCTAAATCCCTAGTGTAACCCCGTTAACATATTACTCGATAGAATTGTCAAATCTTGCAAATATTCATTAATTGGTAACACAAACTGTCAATATCTGGGATTTCGATTCTTAAAAAATTAAAAACCCCTGCTATACAAATTAGCGGTCCAAAATTTA